TAAATGGCAGACAGTTTAAGAGCACAAGTCTAAAATCGAACCCAGTCTATAAGTAATATTAATTGTTTTTACATATTATTAATTAAAAAGTTACTCGTAATTCAGAGGAAAAAAATCACTTCAGTGTAGCCTAATTTATAATAATTTTTGGGAAATGAAGGAACGGGAAAACTACTTCGTTTCGAATTTATCGATCCTGAATTGCGTTATTTAATTTAAATAGTTTACAAATAAACATCATGAAATTGCATTTTTCTGAAAGAAATGTGAGATTTAAGAAAGAAATTCAAGTAAACGATTAAAAAAATGAGTTTTCAATTTACTTTTTTTAAGACGAAAAAGAAGACGAAGATGAAAGATAATCACTTAAAGATTTCGGTTCTATTTACAGAATATAATGATTAAAATATATAATAACTCTAAACCATAATTATATAAGGACTTTCTCTCTATTAAATATTACGATTTTAAAAGCGACAGGCCTTAAGTAGTAATCTAGAGTGAGGCCCTAACTTACCTGATATATAAATACTCGGTCTTACTCTTGGTATAAGTTTTATGATTAAATTAAAATATAAAACTTAGACCTACAGCTTAGGGCCTCATTCTAGAATATTACAATTAAGGCCTTTCGCTTTTAAAGTTCTATTATTTAATAAAGAGAAAGGGATTATATGCTATGACATAGAGTTATAAGAAGTTTAAATCCTTTCTTGACCAAGAAAAACAGTCTGAGTAATATAATTTATGGCTTAAAATTATTTATAGATAAACAAAAGGATTGAAATTGTTTGTTTTCTCTTCTGAAGAAAGTATTTTGATTTATTTGGATGTATTTAAAGCTACTAATTTAATAAAATAACGTCATTCGAATGTACGCGTATTATATTTATAATGTAGTATTAAATAACAAAGAAATAAAAGATCCAAACTTATTATTATTCGAAGTAGTTAGTGTCAAGAAGATCGTTATAAAGAAGAAAATCAAAATAAACAATTATTTTAAGTGTATTTAGTTACTTTTAAATTCAAATATAATTTAAAAAAAATACTTTTTTTTTCCATTTTTGACTCTCCAACCTTAAGACAATAAAAGGGTCTTTTTCAGGCCCATTGTTGGTTCTTGAAGGCTCACAATGGGGCTATCGGGTGGTGAGGGACGGGGGCCAACTTATCGGGTGGTGAGGGACGGGGGGAAATTGACCACCCCGAAAAATTCCTGCGGTTTTTACCCACCCGAATTAAGGAGGTCGCATAGAGTTTAGCTACAGCCCCTTCTGGAGGCTTTCCCAGTAAATCCGGGTACATCAGGTATAAAACAATTGTGAGGCAGTGGCATGTTATCCTATGAGCAAATAGGGCAACTGTTTGGGACCCTCACCAACAGTGGGCTCCACACCAATCTTTTATAAGTAAATATTTCCCCCCAAAAATGTCTGAAGTCAACACTACTGTATGAGGGCCCATAATTCAAATTTGCCTGGGGCCCATAAAGCTATAATGTGTCACTGTTGTGAGGCATATTGTTTCATTGTTGCACCTCCTCTAAAGATTTCTAGATCCGCTACTGGGCGGTAAGTAGTATTTTTAAGGCCTTAAAAAAGTAAGGAATATTGAAAATTTATGCTTTTATAGATAAACATGTAAATGCAATTAGCATTTATGGATCAAGAATAGCTTTTAGCTCTTGATTATTCGATTTTGTACAATACAGTTCGAAAGTAAAAGATCATTTATTACATTTCTATATCATAAATAAGAAAATTGGGAGATCATTTATAATTCAAGAGAAAAATACCCATCAAACGAACCAAAACCAAAAAGGAATTTTTCATAAATGAAACCAGAAAAATGTTATTTAGATCATCATTTTTAATTATTTGTACAACATACAATAATTATAACCGAAATTAATTAATTACAGATAAAAAAAATTAAATATAAAAATGTCGTAACTTACGATAGGCTCTCTATCGTAAGTTACGACAGCAAGACTATTTACTCTGATCTCCCAACACAGGACTTTGAAAAGTCAATTAATTATATAAAATGCATGATATAAAAATAATATAAATTGGTTTCTTTTAATAACTAAGGAAATTTTTTATTTAATTCCAGGATTTTTATTTGCTTTATTTATTTTTATTCGTATATTTTATGGTATTTGAATGGAGTAAGCCTTACATTTGAGACTGTAAGTCCATCTTACCTGAGACAAATTAACCAGGTTATTTATTACTAGACATATATCAATAAAATACATTATTACTATATAAATGTATCTGAAAAAATAATAAAACCTTATTAATAAATAATATTGCAACGTAGGCCTATATTTACTTTCCAGGCTGTTAAATATTATATAACAGAGGAAAATTATGGCGATCAGTCAAATAATAACCCCGAAGATTTTTACATTTTTGGAGCTCAGATCACCTTGAAACGTTGAGAACTTTGGGTATTTTTTCCCTTTATGTATGTATGCTAGTGGGAGGTTCGATTTTGCTCACCAAATTTGAAGCTTAATAACTCCTGTGTCCGTTTGTCAAAATTTTCTGAAATTTTGCAGAGAAATTTGTGTATTAGGGGCATTAGTGCTATTAAATTTTGGTGGTTAAACATCAAGGGAATGGGAAGAGAATGGAGGAGATCATTTGTCATATCTCGAATCGGATCGGACTAGCATGAGGTCCTAAGCTGTATCCTCAATTATTTTAGTTAATTTATTCATTAATTAATTTTTTAATTTTAAAATAATGTTTTCTTACATAAAAGGAATTTTTAAATAAATAAAATTATGAAGAAAAAATGTAGAACTTTGATGCCGTTTATCCTAAAATGAAAACATATTTTATCTGTATTAATTATATCGTATTTATTATTTAACACAGTAACATAGAATTTATCTACAAATATAGTGTACTCCCGATTATCCGTACAGAAGATTTTTCCTTTTATTTACACAAAATGGCCGGAAAAAATGGCGCCGAACGTACAAAATTATCTTTTTGTATGCAATCTATGTAAAAAAAAAAAAATGTGAACTAAAGCTTCTATAATTTTTTGAGGACAGTGTCCAAACTTTATTTCCTTCGAAGAAATATCTGTTGGATTATCCGTGTTTTTCGATTTTCCGTGCACGTTTTTCCTGTCACGAGCCCGTACACCTAAATTCCCATTGTCTGTCCTTCCTTAATCTCATAAACTATTTAAGTTAGATGAAAGACAAGACCATGTTTGGAAATATTAGGAGCAGGAGGCCCTGATAAACTATATAGGAACTTTCTGTGCGAAACGGAAGTTACGTAATTTCAATTCAAAACTTTTCTCCTGAACGGCGTTAGACCGATATGACTTCAATACTGTATTAACAGGAAAAGAATGATGTACAGAGGCAAGACACTACTAAAACGCAATGTGACGAAAAATTGAAACCCGTTTTATTCATATATCTTTACGGTTTCCAGAAAGGACCCATCTCAACTCCATCAGGCCCTATCTAAAAAACCTAAAATATATTTGCAGAAATTTTTTTACTTTAATAACATGGTTTAGAATTTAAAAATACAAAATACAGTAAAACCTGTGTAAGTCGAATATATTTTTTTGGTTTGACAGATTTCCGTTTTAAACAGATTAATTTTTAATATAGAAAATCGCTCCGTTTCCAAGCATTTTTTTCCGTTTAGGCAGGTTTCCTTTTTATTTAAGTTTGAACAGGTTTTACTGTAATTAAAACGGTTAAGCTAATGCTAATTTAATTAAATAATTGTAAATTTGCATAAAATTTTATAAATTAAAAGTAATTAAAATAGTATATATAAAGTAAAACCTGCTCAAAACCTGCTTAAACGGGAAGAATTTTTCGGAATGCAGCGTTTTTCTGTGTTAAAAAACCTGTTTAAAGCGGAAATCTGCCAAACCAGAAGAAATATTCGGTACCATCAGAGTTCGGTTTACACAGATTTTACTGTATATATAGTGATTTTGAACATAAAATTCAAGCAAATTTATTAACATACAGTAGCTTATATGTTTAAATAATGTACTTTGTTAAATAATTTATCAGAAATAAATGTTAAATCTTCTATTTATATGTATTCATTAATTTCTGAATATCTGAATTTACATCAGATATTCAGAAATATATAAGCTCCATATAAATATTCATATACCTTAAGTATCAATCTGGTGCTAGACCGTACCACTTACTTTCTCTATATACTCATCATCCACATGCTGATGCTTCTCTCATTGTTTTGGCAACAATACGCCTGCAGAATATGTCTCGATTCTTGTTGGAGAATGACTCTACACACAGTGGAGGTAGTCAATAGACCCGGTCGAGAAATTCCGGATCGTCCGGTCTACGGCATCGCCATGCAATCATCCGCTTGGTTCTTTGAAAGAAGACGGGAGATGACAGATTCATCCAGAATGGTGAAGTCAGAGTTTGTCATGTAGTGACCCTGAAACTGCCAAGACTTTTAGACCAGAAGTGTCAATGTGTGGGGATAGAAATATAAATTGGGACTATGTAACACGCAGTTCCTTTGAAATTACTGAAATTCGGGAAAGAAGTTGAACTACACTAATATAAAGTGTGTGTTGTGTATATGCTACCAGATATCAGTGTGTGTTAATTCTCTCTCTAGAGAAGATTAACACACAGTGCTATTCTAGTAATACATTTACAATTACTTAGTTATTTTACTACATTAATAAATGAAAAATAAATAAGTTCTGTTCTTAGTTTTATATATCAAAAATAGATTGAATGGAAATCTTTTCACATCTGTTTGCATTTAATAATTCTTAACAACCTTTCTTTATAATTTATTAAGACATTTAACTTCCAAGGTGTGGATTTATAGATTTACTGATGATGATATTCATTATCACCTGCACCTTTGGTGGTCTAAGGGTAATAATAAGTTTATGTAATTTTTGATTTATAAACAATTTTTTTTTTAAATTAAGTGAAAATTATGAAATGCTTCTCTGTTTAATTTTAAAAGACAAGCAAGACCTATCTGAGTTGAAAAGATATTTGCTTGGTAAATTTTTCCACTAGAATTTAATTAATATGTTTTAATTATTTCAACTTTTTGCCCTCATTTATATCAGGTTATTAGAGAGAGGAATATAACAGGCGGGTGACTAAAAATTTGAGATCCTCACTTGTATCATTGATACTGATCTGTTGCTTATTCATATATTAGATCAAAATTGTTTTTGAATTATTATGCACTTATTTCTTTGTGGTTTTTGAAACCTAGAGCTTTGATTAATAAAATAGAATGGTGATGATTATTTGTTATCTCTTCGGGCTGAAATCCTCTGGTAAAATCTTAAGTTTTCGTCATATTGCTGTCTTCCCCTTTTAATATTTCTATATTTTCAATCCAGCATAATCATGGTTCATCTAATGCCATATTTTCTTGTGTGTAATATATTCTGCCCATCACCACTTAGATTGCTACTAAAGCATTACAGTTCATCAGTGAATAATACAAACTGTTGTTAAGATGTTGATGCTATATATACATTAATTACTCCCTATGTTGAAAATCTGTATATGTAATAAGTTAGCACGTTTAATAATTTTCTATTAATTGTTATTTTAGAATAAAAAAGTTAGGAATTATACATTGTTATAGAAACACATAATTTAAAACGTGTGCATTCTGAAGTATATTTTTAAGAATATAAAGTATTATTTTGTAGAATTGAAATGTAATTTCTACATTCCACCATTCTGTTGGCAAATACTCATAAGAATGCCCCCCTTTTGGCTATAAATTGTAGCTCATATCTTGTATTTTTCTCTTTCAGCATAATGAAATAATATGGCTACCGGAGGAAAATGTGACAATATTGGAGACAGGTGTTTTGTGAGTTTCGTCTGTCAGAGATGCTGTCAACCGCTAAAACTCGACTCTTCTTTCAATGCCTTAGACGAACAAGTTCTGTCCGAATTCTCGTCAACGCCTTTGTTAAGTCGATCCGACAACGGAAGTGCCATTCAAATAATTGCTAACGACAAGGAAGGGGAGGGAGATGAATTGGATTATACGAGAAAGGTGATATTGCCACTTAAACTAACAGACAGCGGCAACGGGTTTATGCTGGTGAGTGAAATGCCCAACAGCAACAGAGAAAGTCTCAGTCATCATTTGGCAGTGACGGCGAGGCTTTTCGATATCCTTTCCGATCAATCCGATATCGATCACCCGCTGTGCGAAGAGTGTTCCGATACGTTGCTCGATCAGATGGATCATCAGTTGAGAATAGCGGAAGACGAATGCAAAGATTATCGAGAATTTCTAGAGCAGCTGACGAACGACGATAGTGAAGTGGATTCGCAGAATCTAGAGCACGAATTGGAGAGGCTGAAAGAAGAAGAGAGGAAGCTGCAAGAAGAATTGGCCGAAATCGAAGAAGAGCAGAACAAACTGGAAGAACAGAAGAAATTAGGGAAAGATAATCTGGATCAGCTAGAAATGGATGATGAGAGATACTGGCTCGAGTACAGTGACCTGAAATCAAAAATGCTGACTTTCGAGGACGATCAGAGGAGTGTAGATAACCAGCTACGTTATGCCAACTCTCAGCTAGAGAAGCTCAAGAAGACGAACGTGTTCAATGCCACCTTTCACATATGGCACAGTGGACATTTTGGCACCATCAACAACTTTCGATTGGGCCGTCTTCCGGCCGTGCCCGTCGACTGGGCGGAGATCAACGCGGCGTGGGGTCAAACTGTACTCCTACTTCATTCGTTAGCCAAAAAGGTCAATCTGACCTTTCAGAGATATCGTCTAGTGCCCTACGGGAATCACTCCTTCTTAGAATCTTTAGAAGACAAATCAAAAGAATTACCTCTTCACGGCTCGGGTGGCTTCAAATTTTTTTGGGACACGAAATTCGATCAGGCAATGGTTGCCTTTTTGGACTGCCTACAGCAGTTCAAGGAAGAAGTGGAAAAAGGCGACAAGAGTTTCTGTTTACCCTACAAGATCGAGAAGGGCAAAGTTGAAGATCCCAGCAATGGGAACACCTACTCGATCAAGATTCAGTTCAACTCCGAAGAGCAATGGACCAAAGCGCTAAAGTTCATGTTAACTAATTTAAAATGGGGACTAGCTTGGGTATCTTCGCAGTTTACAAACAAATGATGTTAAATAATAATTTAACGGTATAGAATTTAAATATATATATATATAAATACATGTATAAAAGATCAGCGAATCAGAGTTTATAAATTTTGCTCTATATATACTGTATGTAAACTGTAAATTTGACGATAAATGTTGGAATTTTTTGTAAATGGAGAGTGAATGGTTCGAGTCGAATTCCCCCCCCCGTGTACAGTAAATTTCTAGTATACGTGTGACGATGGGTGTGTAAACTACAGTATAATTGAACCGAAAGGACAACTACCTGCTCTACATATCTGTAACATATTCGTGTATTTGTTTCTACACAGTCAGGAATATGCTTGTCATATTGTACAAATAAATTTTACCAATTAAAAGCTTTATAAATTTAATATATTGATAAATTTTGCTATGTACTAATACAAAAATTCATTTCTCTCTTCATTGATATAAATTACGTTTTTCTGGAGTACAAATTGATGAAGAAAGTTGAAATTTATTTGAAATAAAACATGAGAATTAATATATTTTTATTTACATTTTTTTTACTTATTTCTGGAAAACGAGCCGATCGGAGTAGTGAAATTAACGGGCAGGAGGAGGACGAGTTAAAAATGTGTTGGAGTGACGTAAATACGCATTGTAGCCAATTAATACGAATTGCTGTAGTAATTTGAATCGTAAATATGCAAATTAACGGAGCGTGTAAACAATAAGGCATGTTGCTGATGGATCAAATACAAATTGCTCTTGGATCCAATATGGCAGCCCCACTAGAACCGCACGTGGTAGTTTTCGAGTTTTCACAAGTGCAAAGGGGTCCTCAAAGGTTAAAAAATCCTTTGAGGAATAACTGCACAGGCCTGGACTTGAGGAAATTCAGAATTTCCTATCGTCCATATTAGATCAAATTAAACAGTCAAACTGCGCCCTCGGAGGCTCGGGATCGAATCGTACTCAGGCCCGTTTCTATTGTAGTGGCCATACAGAGAGAAATAGAGCAAGGAAGTATAAGAAAATCACTGTTTTTAATAATACCTAACTAGATTACGTAAGTGATGGTGTTTTCGAACAAAGTACACTAAATTATGATAACGATACGTAAATATAGTAAATGCATTATCAGTAACGTCAAACTGCGCCCTCGGTGACTCGGGATCGAATCGTGATTAGGCCCGTTTTTATTGTAGTAGCCATAGAGGAGATAGAGCAGGGAAGTATAAGAAAATCGCTGTTTTTAATAATACCTAACTAGATTACGTAAGTGGTGGTGGTGTTTTCGAACAAAGTACACTAAATTATGATAACGATATGTAAATATAGTAAATGTATTATCAGTAACTACATTAGAATTAATATTTTTCCAGATTTTAGGTCATAAAAAGTGACGTGTATAAAAGAATATACAAGGGTTTGTGACCATATTTGTGTTTCCTGTGTTCTACATCATCACGCATACATTAAAGATGGCGAATGAGTAATTTCCATAAAATGAGCACCTAATTTAAAACAAAATTATCGACGTAACCTCGTTATAACGAGCAAACGTTGTGATCAAATTTCAGGAGAAAGCTGCTTTAACTTCTGTTCAAAAACAGAGTAATAAATAACGTTATCACTAATTTATATCGATACTGTTCAGATGCTCTTTGATAATTGTACTCCCGTATAGTCTGTGATTCGTTGCGACGCATTGAATTTTCGTGATGGTCGTTGAGGATTACAGCGAAGGTTTACAGTATCTAAAAAGCGAAATAAGTAAGTGAAATTATTTACATTATCAAAATAATACTTGGTAACACCTAAAGGGGCGTATTTTGTACCTAGGTCATAAAAGGTGACGTGTATGAAAAAATATACAAGGGTTTTTGATCATATTTGTGTTTCCTGTGTTCTACATCCTCATCACGCATACATTAAAGATGGCGAATGAGTAATTTCCATAAAGTGGGCACCTAATTTAAAACAAAAGTTACCAACGTAACCTCGTTATAACGAGCAAACTTTGTGATAACGCAGCTTTCTCCTGAAATTTGAACTTTTATCCAAAAACAGAGTAATAAATAACGTTATCACTAATTTATATCGATACTGTTCAGATACTCTTTGATAATTGTAATGCCGTGTAGTCTGTGATTCATTGTGACGCATTGAATTTTCGTGATGGTCGTTGAGAATTACAGCGAAGGTTTACAGTATCTAAAAAGCGAAATTAGTAAGTGAAATAATTTACATTATCAAAATAATACTTGGTAACACCTAAATGGTCGTATTTTGTACCCTATCTACGAAGGTCGTACAGAATTGACGTGTAGAACCGACGACAAATTCCTCCTGAGATTTCTTCGAGCCAAGAAATGCGATTCAAAAAGGGCATTTACCTTATTACAGAATTATTATTTTGTTAGAAGAAGATACAGTCACGTGTTTAGTAATTTTGTACCCTCGAGTGTACGCGATATTCTTCAGTCTGGTGTGTTTGAAGTCTTGTCACAGTGCGATCAATTAGGGAGGAAGATCTTCGTTGGTAGAGTTAGTGAGTAACACTTTTGATAATTTCCTCGGTTTAACGCTTGTAAAGTACTGAAAACGGAGGTAAATTTGGTTTACAGGTCGTTGGGAAGTTTATAAACACAATGTCATTGATCTATTACGAGCCAAGTTAATGATTTTGGAAACACTACTGGAAGANTTGGATTGTACACTTGTATATTGTTACGTAACTGACGTTGAAATAAATGTAGAAAGAAAACAAAATATGCAAATTAAACGAAATTTGCATATTTAGGCGACAAGAATTTTTGGAATCGTTACGTGCGTTGCTGCTTTAATATCTCCAAAATTACAAAAGAGAAATGCGATTCAAAAAGGGCATTTACCTTATTACAGAATTATTATTTTGTTAGAAGAAGATACAGTCACGTGTTTAGTAATTTTGTACCCTCGAGTGTACGCGATATTCTTCAGTCTGGTGTGTTTGAAGTCTTGTCACAGTGCGATCAATTAGGGAGGAAGATCTTCGTTGGTAGAGTTAGTGAGTAACACTTTTGATAATTTCCTTGGTTTAACGCTTGTAAAGTACTCAAAACGGGGGTAAATTTGGTTTACAGGTCGTTGGGAAGTTTATAAACACAATGTCATCGATCTATTACGAGCCAACTTAATGATTTTGGAAACACTACTGGAAGAAGTGGAGGTACAGCAGAATGGTATTGTCATCATTTACGATTGTAGAGGGTTTACGTGGCGTCACGCTATACAATTCACCCCCAGAGTGATATATTTAATTACAAAATTGTTAGAGGTAAGTGCTAAATCGGTTATTGTTAAGAATCTTTATCATTGATGTGGTGTTCTTGCAGAGTACTTTCCCTGTTCGTTACAAAGAAATGCACATAGTTTACATGCATGCTCTGGCAAAAAATGTGGTATCATTCATAAAACCATTAATGACTAAAAAAATGAAAAAGAGGGTACGTACAGTACAACATGATTATTTCGAAAGCGGGTGTGATTTTTTAAAAAATGATTTATTCTTTAATTTTAGGTGCATCTTCACGACAATTGCATGCAACAGTTGCATAGTTTTCTATCGAAAAATTGCCTACCCGAGGAATACGGCGGAGAATTGAAAAACCAAGATTTTAGGATATTTTTAGAAAAAGTTTTAAATTTAGAAGAAGAATTCGGCTACCATCAAAAATACTGGACCGAGAATTAATTTCGGATTTTTTAAATGTTTATTTTGTATTTATAATAAAGTGATTTAGATTTTTAAATTGATTTTCTTTATGATATCCAACATAAATTATGAATTCTTCTTAAGAGATGGAGCCAGAAATGCTTAAGATGCAACTACGTACGACCTCCCACATTCAATATTTATAAAGAGAAATCTAAAAATACAGACACTCTATGGTGTTTTTTTTTTACTGTTTCACTTCAGCTGTTTACTAGAATGCTTCTCGGTTGATACTGATACGTGTTTATCTAAACAGGAACGTGAGAAATCAGCGTGTTAATTGTGTTTCTTTATTAAATTAACCCTAATTAAACATAATTAACTGATATTGATCCGAACATGATTTTCATGACGAGGTGTTGCTGCTTCTTCGATACCAGAATTGGGAGCATAGCGTGTGGAGTGTATACATTAGTAAGTAACACTTTTACATTCGAATATATTTTAAAAAATATATATTTTAAAACTAATTTGTAAATCAATAACGTCATCTAAAAATGCTTTATACCTGTCTTTCAACCCCCTTTTAACCTAGTGTTTTATGCTTTTATATCTTCTTTCTACCTCTTCCTACCTATGTGTTTCATACCTGTCTTTCTACCCCCTTTTAACCTAGTGTTTTATGCTTTTATATCTTCTTTCTACCTCTTCCTACCTATGTGTTTTATGCCTGTCTTTCTACCCCCTTTTAACCTAGTGTTTTATGCTTTTATATCTTCTTTATACCTATGTGTTTCATACCTGTTTTTCTACCCCCTTTTAACTGATTGTTTTATAGCTTTATACTTGTTTCTACCTTTTCCTATCTGTACGTTCCATCTTTACATCTTTTATTCTTATTTTCTTACAACCTCTTTTTATTATACTTGTCAACTCTCAACTTCTTGTTTATCTCTTTTATATTTTCCCACCTTTCTTCCAACCTGTGTCCAGCCGTGTATTCCATACTTTCCTGTGTACAGTACCTATCCTTTTTTAGTTACCTGTTCTATACTTTGTATCTTTCCCAATACAGGAAATCCTCGTTACTTCGAATTATCCGAAATTTACATATTTTTGTACAATATGTCAAATGCTACGTTTATTAAGCAAACAGAATTCCTGAAGTGTAATACGAATTTCAAATAGTACGGTTACGAACTAACGGAATTTCGTACTATACGAGTTCGAATTAACCAGGAACACCTGTATAAGCTATATATTTTACACCTTTCTGTCCGTTTTTGTCTTTATTTATCCTTTAATAATACCAAAGTATTGTAACACAGCAGAAGCTAACTCCTCACTTACACGCAACTCGTTTTCAACGTAAAGTTGGCGCAAAAAGTGACTAAAAAAATCCCCCTTCTATAAAGATAAAATCCTGTGTTTTATTTCACACTAGTTACTTATGACGTCGAACACTTGTACCTTTTTTAATTGTGTCGATGGATGGAAACATTTCGGAACACAGCCAAGTTAAGGTTATTCGCAGAAATTTCTGTTTTTTCCCCTTTTCTTTGTTAATATCCTAAATTCACGTATATTTTTGGATTGTACACTTGTATATTGTTACGTAACTGACGTTGAAATAAATGTAGAAAGAAAACAAAATATGCAAATTAAACGAAATTTGCATATTTAGGCGACAAGAATTTTTGGAATCGTTACGTGCGTTGCTGCTTTAATATCTCCAAAATTACAAAAGACCGTATCAATGTACCACAATGGGAATTTATCAGGTAAAGTATTTCTTTTATTTTTATGTGTTTTTTTTTAAAGAAAATTCACAGATATGTTATGTTCTTGCAGACCTGAAGTCCATCTACGTTAGCATATTGATTAATAATTTTATAGCAATTTGTTTCAGTATTCTTCTGGTGTATGGAACGAGAAAAGTATGTGTTTTAGAAGATTCATCTGTAGAAGAAATTTTTAAAAATTTAACAATACTTTCACGTGTTTTTTTAGAATTACAAGTTGGCATTGATTCCGTGGGTGGTGTGGATGATTATAGAGTTAATCGTGCATGTCGTTTACGTGGGAGTGTTAATTGTCTTCTCGATTTCTAATGCAAAGGTATGCTTTTTACATATCTATTCTATGTATTATTACAAAATTTACCATAAAAATATTCTTGTTTTTTTAGATTGTTGGATTGATAATAGGGATAGTGTGTCTGATATCGTTATTTATATGTTTACAGGTAATTTTTATATCCTTTAATTAATAGTTACATGTAGTGTTCCTCTGTAATGGTTTATTGTTCAGGTTGCCTGCAATGATTCTTTGTTACACGCAGTTGTTAAAGGCTGTCTTTACAGTAGAACATTGCAAGGGACCATTACAGGATAACCATTTTTAATGGAAACAGAGAGCAAAATACAATGCAATACGAAAGCAAACATTTGTTCGTGACTTGAGAATCAAATGTTTAGCTCCAATTGCCCACGTGTTAACACTCTGTCAATGTTCTGTTTGAAGTACACTGCATAAAATGCCATTGGTTTTTATATTTCAGGTATATTTTATACTGTGTGTGATATCTTATTATGAATATTTGAAAGAAAACGACGATAAACCAATCGAATTGTCATGAAATCCTGGAAGAAGATGCAAGGTAATCAATGAGAAGACACATAATATAAAGTACTAACGACACACATAATTTTATTTTAATAAAAATTGTTTAAAAAAATGTAATATATAAATTAATCATCAAAATAAAAATCACAGAACACCTCTTGGAACAAATTCGAGTATTATCTTTGTTATAATTAAATAGAATCGTACGAGAAATCTTTGACGTAGATAGGATATTTGATAGAGATGATACCGGCCATAACTTGATAATGAGAGATAACAGACAGCAGCAGATATAACTGTTAAAATTCAAAATAATTATAGTTAATAGCCCAAGGAATACACGAAATTAATATTATTGTGTATTAAAACTAAATAAAACTACAGAGAGAGAGAAACAGAGAATGGATAGTGAGAGAGTAGTCTTATAGGAGATCTGTCGTAAACCCCGTTACGTGTTCAACTTTCCTACGTTCCTATTTGATTGAAAAGTGATAGCGGAGGTTTCAACCCAAACAATACAGGCTTTGAACTACGAGAGGGCCGAAAAGCACCATTGCACGAGCGTAATGGTTGATGATGAGATCCATCATCTAAAGAGTAGATTTCGTGCGGAACCATATACAGCACATTCTTAATGCAGCTTTGAGCGGACAAGGGCCTATAAATTTTGAGCATGAAGCATTTGTCTGTCCCCCCAGGATAAGTAGAGAGAAATACAGGCAGATAGAATGGAGAATTGTCATGTGTAATTTAACTATGGAACATGTTTCACCCGTGGGAAATTCTAATACGTCGCTAGCGCACGTGTTATTACATTAAATGAAGGTTGAACTGTTTCTTTACACGATTAGAATGGTGTTAAAGATAAATAACTTAATTATAATTAACTAAATATTTAATTAAACTTACATTAAATCCTGCCCATATGATCAATCCAATTGAAATCACGCAAATAACATTGTTATGCTATGAAAATAAAGAGGATAATATAATTTATACTGTCTCTATACACAGAAAGGGTGTTTATATCAGTGTTTGCCGATACTCAACTGTTCCGATGACGTCAGATAAGAACATCCCCATTAGGACAATGGAAGAAACGGTACTACCAATAATTTCTATTGGCATATACATCATCCAAGGGAGGACGAAATGTCTTTTATTCTGTTTAAAATATTTTCGTGTTTATATAAATCAATTTTTAGATACAATAAAGTCTTTGACACATTGAAATACACTAGAAAGCAAAAACTTACTTTCTGAAGTCCATACAATAAGATTAAGCTGAGTATAATCAAAATACAACAGTCTGCAAGCGTGGCTGTAAGGGAGGGGAGGGAATAGTAGAATATACAGAAAAATATTAAATATTTAAGAGAAAACAATATTTTTTAGAAGAAAATAAAGAAATTTACCTATTGTTAGGTTCAGAGAAACAGAATAATGTTCGGTATTTTTAATGAAAACAATGCTATAACCTTGAGATATAAGTATAGAGAATGCAACAAGGAATAACGCTCTTGTAACCTGAAATAAAAATTAAATAATAATAATTTTGTGTGAAACAATATATAGGGCGGCCGAAAAATCAGTTAACCGAGATAGGAGGCCGGTTGGAAGCGATTAAATCACAAGCGATAAAAAACCGGTTTCTTTATCGTTTGCGATTCGATCGCTTCCAACCGGCCTCCTATCTCGGTTAACTGACTTTTGGTCCACCCCATATATAATTCGAACGGTTATAAGTTATATAAGCAAGAATAATTAACTCACCAAAGTAAAAATTGCAGTTGCTATTGAACCTTGTTTGGTGTCAGTGTAGCATAAGCACCCTTCAATAAATAGTATCATTTTTTCTTGCGTGCTGTTAATACAATTGATACGATTATTCTAAATGCCCGTCTGGAGTGTTGCAAATGATATATCGTGCGATAAGAAGGTAGAAATTTCGCAACATACTGGTTACGCGAATAAACTGGACTGTGGTTAAACAAGGGTATACACTTCACCCTCCGATCATTGCTCTCTTTAATCGCATGTAAATAATGAACTATAAATGTAAAAATTACGCGTACACTCGTGATATCAACCCAAATATCCTTATCGTAATCTTTAATTAGCCATTTTTTTGTGTGTTTGTAGTCTAAGTAGCTAAAAAGTGCTTTGAAAAACAACATTACATAGTATCTATTAATATAAAAAATTATTTAATGTTTTGATTTGACTGTTTAAATCCTTAAAGAATTTAAAATGTAGATGTGTTTAACCTAAATATGTTACTATATATAAGTGTGTGTGATAATGCTCTATTTGTTTATTATATTTTATAAACATTAAAGAGGAATCTTGTATCCAGCTGGAAAACATTTGATGTGTTTTAACTACAACATATACAAAACAAATGATTCTAATGCAGTGTATTCGTAACAGAAGTTTTTTTAGTGTTTACGGATGATTTTACGGTTGTGTGTGTGCAAAGAATTGTATCTAATGTATCTACAACGAATACACATCAAGTGTTTTCGTCGTATATAAATTACACTACAAGCTGTAGTAGATACGTTACATTTCATGTGTTTTCGTTGTATCTACATTACACTACAAGCTGCGTTTTCCAACTGAATACGGGATTTTCTTTTATAAAACAGAGGCTGAACAGCTGTGACGAGGACTCTTCAGTCTCTATTGATACAAAGTATCGTAAATATTTTTCGTAAAACACATAACGTAGTACTGTATAGTCCTTTGTGGATATACTACAACAGAGTAATGCACACTGTTACGTCAATTCGTTATTGTTACACTTTTTTTACGATAAAGTGTGGGCCTACATTATTCTGACAAAACGAATACAATCATTTACACGTGTAAATAAATCGAACTCAAAAGATTATTCTGATATTAAGCAGACAATTAACAATAATTATCAATTCAAGGTCTTTACACCTGTTTAATACTGATCACTTGATGGAAACCGTTACTACAAATAAAAAAGACACAACAATATTGTTATTTTCTCGTTATCTCAAAAATTGTTAAGCAATTTTTCTTTGTAAAAGATACTAATTTATCATATTTTTTAAATAAAAAAAGGAAAGATCAATAATTTAATGTTACCCTTTAGTAAAACCCAGGCTCAGTTTTGTTATGTGTGGACACAACTTACTAACGTTAAGTAGTGTGCATGTACTGTACAGTTCCCGAAACAACTGTTAGTTGTGTATACATTGCATTAAACAATTATCACACTATTTCAAGAATAATACAGGAAGTTGCCACCAGGTAAAAAATGATTGAGGATTGAATGCAATTCAAGGCGTGGCGATCTGCCAAGTCGCGATGCATACCGGGAGGTCTTTTCGTGGAGTACCGACCTGTATTTAGGTGTTACAAACGTGAAAAATCCCGAAAAACTTGACGTACGCGCTTTGGTACGGAACGAACCGGCAAATTTTAGTGATTTTATTCACTCGGCCACCAGATTAAAAAATGGCGCTCTACGTATAAAAATGCCATCACTGAAAAATATATTAATAGTAAAGTATAAAAATTAAAAAAAAGGCGGTCGTTTTCCATATTTCTGGAGGTTAGTGTGCCAGGGGCGGCACGATTTTGTTAACGAATTTCAACCTTAATAACTCCCGTGCCTTTCGTCGAAAATTTCTGAAATTTTGTGGGGAGTTTTGCATATTAGCGGCATCGATGTTGTTAAATTTTAGCGGTTAAAAGTCGAGGGGGTGGAGAGATAGAGGGAGTCAAATGCCGTATCTCGAGCGAGTTCTGCTCTCGAAATAAAGCTTTTTCCATTTTATAATAATTAATAACATAAAAAAGTTTTCAAATGTAATCTTGCAACAGGTGGAGCCACGCACAATTTTAAATTTTTTGTCGGGAAAGTTACGCAACTCGTTGTTGTACTTTTCAAACAATAATTCATGTAAAATACTGTAAAATCTTTCAAACTATTGCCATTAATTGAAAATATTACCATATTTTATGCATTTTCTACAGTTAGAAAGTTATAAAATATAATTTATTGAAAAAAAAAAATTATATACATTTATATACAGATTTTTGACGTAAACAACGAGGAGGTCAGGCTATTGTGTATATGGGAGTTTCCAGTTGTTTCGCTTTTAATTTTTTATTTAGCCTCCTGTAATGAAGAATTACGATGCTGATACTAATTATCTGTAAATAAAAGATTTAAAAATAATTAATAAATTATTTAGCATTATTTTCGAGTTAAATAAATGAAAAATTTGCTTAAAAAATACATTCCAACTCTCAATAACGGCCATTTTTTAAGTTCCGGTCAGTCGCCATTGTTTACAGGTTTGACTGTACTTTAGCGGATAAATATATATTACAACCACGCTTTTACGATGCAACTTTACTATACACAACGTTAGAATTTAGTACAGTCGTAAAAACGGGGTTTTATTTTATTTAAGATAACTCCGTGACTTTTTTGGTGGCGTTAGTACGAGAGAAACTAAGACCCTTTATATTTAACGTAAATTAATATCGTCTATTGGCTAGAATCTTATTTTAAAAATTTAACTCGTGCTCCGATTGGACGAGAGTGATTCAAATAGTTACAACGTCATCTATATTTTAAATTAGTTTCTCGCTTTCGACCAATCGTAGAAGCGAGTGAATGGAGTCGACGAAAGCTCCTAACTTTTCTTAAAATAACACAGCCAAAAATTCTTATTTGGAGTAGTTTTTACGTTATTTCTTTTAATCAATCATTTGCTATAGATTATAAACTTCATCTTATTAATATAGTCTACTAAATGTTTACATCTTATCAGTACTTACATTGAATCCAAGTAAGACAGAAAGGCCTCCCAGCGTTATAGAAACACCCTGTAAAATAAATATTTATTGTCAGGCCATAAGAATACACTCCATAACATAGTGAAGGGTAAAGGTGCCATTCGAGAGAACTTCCTATAAGAATCTAGACCCTATTTAGGGGTTAGGAGCAATTTTTCAAGTGTATTTAGGAGGGATGCATTACCACACCGATAAAGTGGTGCAGTATCATAAACTAATTAACGTTTATCGTAAACAAATCTATAAACTAGCGCGTGTAGATTACGTACAGGATCAGCATTTCCTCTTCCGTGGGAGTGTTAATCCTGATAAACTCGATTTCTGTTGAAAATTGTGTCGTGTTCTTGATCTTTTTCACACTTCCTTCTAATATTAACATAAAAATAATTATATAGTTTCGTGTAAATAATTTTAAGGATAGGATTTTGCATAGGTAAGCTTCTAAAAAATTAACTTATATGACGTGTATTTTTAAACATTTTTTCTACTTTTACTAGTCTAGACTCAGCTAATAAGTATTTGAATGTTAATTTTTTGGAAGTGGAAGTGTTTGATCAGCATTTAAAAACACTTAAAAATCTATTGTTTTTACTATTACTAACACTGCACTGTACTCTATTAGTCATTGCTACAACACTACTGTACAGTGCAGTATTAAACTCTACAGCATTGCACTATAGTGTACTATACAGTATTAGCATGCATTAATACTTAACAGTGTATGTACACTGTAGTGTAAGCATTATTAGGAATACTTAATGCTTACAAGTACTTAGTGTTTATGAGTTTCCAAGTGCTACAAACACAGTAAAAACTAGTTATAAAAACACCTTTGCTTATATTTAAATACTTAACATAAAATATTAAAGTATGTAAAAGTATGCAAGTAAAAATATATACAATTTACATATTTATCAGTATAATTTAATATACACACTTACCAGTTCTATCCTACCGGGTAGTGACGTATGCAACAGGATAACCATCAAAAATATTTTTAAACTAGTTTCTAATATCATCCAAATAATCCAAGGTAACATTAATATTTGATTATCCTTTTAAATAATTTAATTAATTAATTAATTGAATTATAAAATAATTAAATACACAAGTAAATTTCTTACCTTATTTAATGCATGCAACATGATCAAACTGAAGATGAATGCTGTTAATTCTACTAATAAGAATAGAATTTCGTAACTTATATTACCTGAAAGTAAAAAAGTGTGTCAGGAAAATTAAAAAAATTTTAATTATTTACTTATTTCTAAGAATTATTTACCCTTAGAAACACTTGCAAACACTGTAAACATACTACCGAAAGAAGTACAGTACAATTACAATACAATACCGTATATACATTGTGAATACTTGCTGTTAACTGACACATTACTTGTTATTAAAAACACTTACAGACACATAAGGTAACACTGGAAGTAGACCTATCGTTGTAAGGAAACAAGTAACTGTATTTACTTCTGTTTTTAACAACAGTAAATACAGTAAAACAATAGTAAACTAAGTACTGTAAGTTACTGTGGTTTTACTGTTTTTTTCCTTAATAACAATAGATTATATACTGTACTTCCAGTACTATCTGTGTAGTGTTTGCAAGTGTATCTAATAACAAGTAACATGCAACAGGCAGTAAATAATAAACACTGTGTAAGTACTGAAGCAGTACTTACAAGTGTACCCTGTACTGTATTTAAGTACTGTGCTGTAACAGTACTTCTTTCTGGCAGAATTTTCTTACTTCCAACACCAGTATTTTTTAAGTACTGGAGTTATAAGTAAATTTTATTAATTTACACTTTAAAACTAGAGATATTGTATTTGCAAGTTTTAATAAAACTGCTTGAAAAGCCTATGGATCTACAATTACAATCGTAATGGAGGAGGAGTGCCTCTTATGTTATTAGTAAACTTGGAATATTGAGGTGCAAATTTTCTCTAAAAGGGGGCTAAGAATTGATGGTTTTCTTAGAAACAAGCCACTGAAATCCACGTGCCCCACACGCTTATTGCATGGTATTTTGGGGGTGGTAAGCTCNCGCCGTAACGTCGCGCTAGACGGCGGAAAGTATATATATAATTATAATAAAGTTACAATAAATTAAGTTAATATATAATTATATATACAGTACCTAATTTATATATAATTACATGTACAGACGATACTAAACTCAATTTACCCGCCTAACTTACCTGTCCGTAGCGTGCCGCTGGACAACGGAAAGTAGTTTGGCTGCCCGATGACGTTTTACTTAATTAAACACCAATCGTATGCCGAAAATTATCGGTCTAGTTTTAGGCTAATTTTGGTTACGTAATTCATTTAGTAATTAGCCTAAAACTAGCCCGATAGATTTTCGGCATACGATTGGTGTTTAGTTATGTTATATATCAGGTTTAGAATATTTGTTTGTTTTACGTAATTATAGGAGTTTTTTTACCGTTGTTTACGGATACCGCCACAATTTTTTCGCCGTCTTATAGGAATCGTAATTATAGGAACCCGTCTTANAAGGTAACATTAATATTTGATTATCCTTTTAAATAATTTAATTAATTAATTAATTGAATTATAAAATAATTAAATACACAAGTAAATTTCTTACCTTATTTAATGCATGCAACATGATCAAACTGAAGATGAATGCTGTTAATTCTACTAATAAGAATAGAATTTCGTAACTTATATTACCTGAAAGTAAAAAAGTGTGTCAGGAAAATTAAAAAAATTTTAATTATTTACTTATTTCTAAGAATTATTTACCCTTAGAAACACTTGCAAACACTGTAAACATACTACCGAAAGAAGTACAGTACAATTACAATACAATACCGTATATACATTGTGAATACTTGCTGTTAACTGACACATTACTTGTTATTAAAAACACTTACAGACACATAAGGTAACACTGGAAGTAGACCTATCGTTGTAAGGAAACAAGTAACTGTATTTACTTCTGTTTTTAACAACAGTAAATACAGTAAAACAATAGTAAACTAAGTACTGTAAGTTACTGTGGTTTTACTGTTTTTTTCCTTAATAACAATAGATATACTGTACTTCCAGTACTATCTGTGTAGTGTTTGCAAGTGTATCTAATAACAAGTAACATGCAACAGGCAGTAAATAATAAACACTGTGTAAGTACTGAAGCAGTACTTACAAGTGTACCCTGTACTGTATTTAAGTACTGTGCTGTAACAGTACTTCTTTCTGGCAGAATTTTCTTACTTCCAACACCAGTATTTTTTAAGTACTGGAGTTATAAGTAAATTTTATTAATTTACACTTTAAAACTAGAGATATTGTATTTGCAAGTTTTAATAAAACTGCTTGAAAAGCCTATGGATCTACAATTACAATCGTAATGGAGGAGGAGTGCCTCTTATGTTATTAGTAAACTTGGAATATTGAGGTGCAAATTTTCTCTAAAAGGGGGCTAAGAATTGATGGTTTTCTTAGAAACAAGCCACTGAAATCCACGTGCCCCACACGCTTATTGCATGGTATTTTGGGGGTGGTAAGCTCTTGAGGGTGGGTATTCTGAGGGTACCTTAACAGGGCACACGAAGCAATTTGAGTCAATATAATGTGATGTGTCGCAGATTCGGATACGTCAGCTTTATACTTTGACTATGTACTTTAGCATATATCTGTGCTTGGTCTGTTAAGCTAACCTCTTCATACAAACTGGTAGAATTCCACAATTTAGCATGTGCACCATTGAAGACCCGCGGAACTCTTATACCTGTGCTACTTTGAAACAATCCCTCACGCAATTAACGAAAAGGGGTAGCGCCTCAACTCCCAACCTTAATTTATTAGGGCCATTAATCTAAATTCGGTTCTAAATAATATAAATTAGACACTTCTAAGTATAATAATTTACTTACTTCTCAAAATTACATCAGGATGTTCGTAAGACGTATAAGGAGCGTAAGTAGTTGCAAGGTATATAAAACTTAGTAGAGAGGTAAACTGTAAAATTTACATAAAAATTAATTATAAATTTATCTATTTTATTCATTAAAATCTTGAAATATATTTACCAGAGTATATACACCAGCCACNCTTTTAACCTAGTGTTTTATGCTTTTATATCTTCTTTCTACCTCTTCCTACCTATGTGTTTTATGCCTGTCTTTCTACCCCCTTTTAACCTAGTGTTTTATGCTTTTATATCTTCTTTATACCTATGTGTTTCATACCTGTTTTTCTACCCCCTTTTAACTGATTGTTTTATAGCTTTATACTTGTTTCTACCTTTTCCTATCTGTACGTTCCATCTTTACATCTTTTATTCTTATTTTCTTACAACCTCTTTTTATTATACTTGTCAACTCTCAACTTCTTGTTTATCTCTTTTATATTTTCCCACCTTTCTTCCAACCTGTGTCCAGCCGTGTATTCCATACTTTCCTGTGTACAGTACCTATCCTTTTTTAGTTACCTGTTCTATACTTTGTATCTTTCCCAATACAGGAAATCCTCGTTACTTCGAATTATCCGAAATTTACATATTTTTGTACAATATGTCAAATGCTACGTTTATTAAGCAAACAGAATTCCTGAAGTGTAATACGAATTTCAAATAGTACGGTTACGAACTAACGGAATTTCGTACTATACGAGTTCGAATTAACCAGGAACACCTGTATAAGCTATATATTTTACACCTTTCTGTCCGTTTTTGTCTTTATTTATCCTTTAATAATACCAAAGTATTGTAACACAGCAGAAGCTAACTCCTCACTTACACGCAACTCGTTTTCAACGTAAAGTTGGCGCAAAAAGTGACTAAAAAAATCCCCCTTCTATAAAGATAAAATCCTGTGTTTTATTTCACACTAGTTACTTATGACGTCGAACACTTGTACCTTTTTTAATTGTGTCGATGGATGGAAACATTTCGGAACACAGCCAAGTTAAGGTTATTCGCAGAAATTTCTGTTTTTTCCCCTTTTCTTTGTTAATATCCTAAATTCACGTATATTTTTGGATTGTACACTTGTATATTGTTACGTAACTGACGTTGAAATAAATGTAGAAAGAAAACAAAATATGCAAATTAAACGAAATTTGCATATTTAGGCGACAAGAATTTTTGGAATCGTTACGTGCGTTGCTGCTTTAATATCTCCAAAATTACAAAAGACCGTATCAATGTACCACAATGGGAATTTATCAGGTAAAGTATTTCTTCTATTTTTATGTGTTTTTTTTTTTTTAAAGAAAATTCACAGATATGTTATGTTCTTGCAGACCTGAAGTCCATCTACGTTAGCATATTGATTAATAATTTTATAGCAATTTGTTTCAGTATTCTTCTGGTGTATGGAACGAGAAAAGTATGTGTTTTAGAAGATTCATCTGTAGAAGAAATTTTTAAAAATTTAACAATACTTTCACGTGTTTTTTTAGAATTACAAGTTGGCATTGATTCCGTGGGTGGTGTGGATGATTATAGAGTTAATCGTGCATGTCGTTTACGTGGGAGTGTTAATTGTCTTCTCGATTTCTAATGCAAAGGTATGCTTTTTACATATCTATTCTATGTATTATTACAAAATTTACCATAAAAATATTCTTGTTTTTTTAGATTGTTGGATTGATAATAGGGATAGTGTGTCTGATATCGTTATTTATATGTTTACAGGTAATTTTTATATCCTTTAATTAATAGTTACATGTAGTGTTCCTCTGTAATGGTTTATTGTTCAGGTTGCCTGCAATGATTCTTTGTTACACGCAGTTGTTAAAGGCTGTCTTTACAGTAGAACATTGCAAGGGACCATTACAGGATAACCATTTTTAATGGAAACAGAGAGCAAAATACAATGCAATACGAAAGCAAACATTTGTTCGTGACTTGAGAATCAAATGTTTAGCTCCAATTGCCCACGTGTTAACACTCTGTCAATGTTCTGTTTGAAGTACACTGCATAAAATGCCATTGGTTTTTATATTTCAGGTATATTTTATACTGTGTGTGATATCTTATTATGAATATTTGAAAGAAAACGACGATAAACCAATCGAATTGTCATGAAATCCTGGAAGAAGATGCAAGGTAATCAATGAGAAGACACATAATATAAAGTACTAACGACACACATAATTTTATTTTAATAAAAATTGTTTAAAAAAATGTAATATATAAATTAATCATCAAAATAAAAATCACAGAACACCTCTTGGAACAAATTCGAGTATTATCTTTGTTATAATTAAATAGAATCGTACGAGAAATCTTTGACGTAGATAGGATATTTGATAGAGATGATACCGGCCATAACTTGATAATGAGAGATAACAGACAGCAGCAGATATAACTGTTAAAATTCAAAATAATTATAGTTAATAGCCCAAGGAATACACGAAATTAATATTATTGTGTATTAAAACTAAATAAAACTACAGAGAGAGAGAAACAGAGAATGGATAGTGAGAGAGTAGTCTTATAGGAGATCTGTCGTAAACCCCGTTACGTGTTCAACTTTCCTACGTTCCTATTTGATTGAAAAGTGATAGCGGAGGTTTCAACCCAAACAATACAGGCTTTGAACTACGAGAGGGCCGAAAAGCACCATTGCACGAGCGTAATGGTTGATGATGAGATCCATCATCTAAAGAGTAGATTTCGTGCGGAACCATATACAGCACATTCTTAATGCAGCTTTGAGCGGACAAGGGCCTATAAATTTTGAGCATGAAGCATTTGTCTGTCCCCCCAGGATAAGTAGAGAGAAATACAGGCAGATAGAATGGAGAATTGTCATGTGTAATTTAACTATGGAACATGTTTCACCCGTGGGAAATTCTAATACGTCGCTAGCGCATGTGTTATTACATTAAATGGAGGTTGAACTGTTTCTTTACACGATTAGAATGGTGTTAAAGATAAATAACTTAATTATAATTAACTAAATATTTAATTAAACTTACATTAAATCCTGCCCATATGATCAATCCAATTGAAATCACGCAAATAACATTGTTATGCTATGAAAATAAAGAGGATAATATAATTTATACTGTCTCTATACACAGAAAGGGTGTTTATATCAGTGTTTGCCGATACTCAACTGTTCCGATGACGTCAGATAAGAACATCCCCATTAGGACAATGGAAGAAACGGTACTACCAATAATTTCTATTGGCATATACATCATCCAGGGGAGGACGAAATGTCTTTTATTCTGTTTAAAACATTTTCGTGTTTATATAAATCAATTTTTAGATACAATAAAGTCTTTGACACATTGAAATACACTAGAAAGCAAAAACTTACTTTCTGAAGTCCATACAATAAGATTAAGCTGAGTATAATCAAAATACAACAGTCTGCAAGCGTGGCTGTAAGGGAGGGGAGGGAATAGTAGAATATACAGAAAAATATTAAATATTTAAGAGAAAACAATATTTTTTAGAAGAAAATAAAGAAATTTACCTATTGTTAGGTTCAGAGAAACAGAATAATGTTCGGTATTTTTAATGAAAACAATGCTATAACCTTGAGATATAAGTATAGAGAATGCAACAAGGAATAACGCTCTTGTAACCTGAAATAAAAATTAAATAATAATAATTTTGTGTGAAACAATATATAGGGCGGCCGAAAAATCAGTTAACCGAGATAGGAGGCCGGTTGGAAGCGATTAAATCACAAGCGATAAAAAACCGGTTTCTTTATCGTTTGCGATTCGATCGCTTCCAACCGGCCTCCTATCTCGGTTAACTGACTTTTGGTCCACCCCATATATAATTCGAACGGTTATAAGTTATATAAGCAAGAATAATTAACTCACCAAAGTAAAAATTGCAGTTGCTATTGAACCTTGTTTGGTGTCAGTGTAGCATAAGCACCCTTCAATAAATAGTATCATTTTTTCTTGCGTGCTGTTAATACAATTGATACGATTATTCTAAATGCCCGTCTGGAGTGTTGCAAATGATATATCGTGCGATAAGAAGGTAGAAATTTCGCAACATACTGGTTACGCGAATAAACTGGACTGTGGTTAAACAAGGGTATACACTTCACCCTCCGATCATTGCTCTCTTTAATCGCATGTAAATAATGAACTATAAATGTAAAAATTACGCGTACACTCGTGATATCAACCCAAATATCCTTATCGTAATCTTTAATTAGCCATTTTTTTGTGTGTTTGTAGTCTAAGTAGCTAAAAAGTGCTTTGAAAAACAACATTACATAGTATCTATTAATATAAAAAATTATTTAATGTTTTGATTTGACTGTTTAAATCCTTAAAGAATTTAAAATGTAGATGTGTTTAACCTAACTATGTTACTATATATAAGTGTGTGTGATAATGCTCTATTTGTTTATTATATTTTATAAACATTAAAGAGGAATCTTGTATCCAGCTGGAAAACATTTGATGTGTTTTAACTACAACATATACAAAACAAATGATTCTAATGCAGTGTATTCGTAACAGAAGTTTTTTTAGTGTTTACGGATGATTTTACGGTTGTGTGTGTGCAAAGAATTGTATCTAATGTATCTACAACGAATACACATCAAGTGTTTTCGTCGTATATAAATTACACTACAAGCTGTAGTAGATACGTTACATTTCATGTGTTTTCGTTGTATCTACATTACACTACAAGCTGCGTTTTCCAACTGAATACGGGATTTTCTTTTATAAAACAGAGGCTGAACAGCTGTGACGAGGACTCTTCAGTCTCTATTGATACAAAGTATCGTAAATATTTTTCGTAAAACACATAACGTAGTACTGTATAGTCCTTTGTGGATATACTACAACAGAGTAATGCACACTGTTACGTCAATTCGTTATTGTTACACTTTTTTTACGATAAAGTGTGGGCCTACATTATTCTGACAAAACGAATACAATCATTTACACGTGTAAATAAATCGAACTCAAAAGATTATTCTGATATTAAGCAGACAATTAACAATAATTATCAATTCAAGGTCTTTACACCTGTTTAATACTGATCACTTGATGGAAACCGTTACTACAAATAAAAAAGACACAACAATATTGTTATTTTCTCGTTATCTCAAAAATTGTTAAGCAATTTTTCTTTGTAAAAGATACTAATTTATCATATTTTTTAAATAAAAAAATGAANATACTAAAAATTATAATAATATTGAATTTCAACCCTGTGCATTTAAATTTTAAATTATTTTATTAACAGACATTCAGTCATCTATAAAATATCTTGCAGTTTGATGAAGTAGGCTATTTGTATCCTTTCCTCTGATATTCCTAATGAGGGACATCATGGGAAAAGAAAACTATGCTGAGCCTCTTCTTGTTAGCCCCTTCATTAAAGGAGGGGACTGACCAGAACTACAACTGCAATGCTGTACTAGTAATTAAGCTAAAGAATTTTATTTAAGACAAAATACCTGTGTTTATAGAGTGATTATCTTGATCATCAGGCATTTTAGGGAATCAAAGATGAGTTAAATTGAGCTAGACAGACTGAAAAGGTCACAGAAACTGGCTCCAGTTTAGATTTAAAGGTGACCAATGACCAATACAATGTAAGATGGAGTGGCTAAATGAATAAATCCATATTCAATTTGATCTCTCTAAAATTCTATGTCCAAATTTAGACATTTTCATGTTTTACAGGCACTGCCCTTTAGTGGATATCCTTTTGATTCTAATGTCCTTTGATAGATTCTGTCTTTTTGCTAAATCTACTCAAGTGCATTAATACCAAAAGGAGGGAAATTTTATATTTTCATATTTACATTATGTAACAGTCCAAAATCTATTGCAATACATTACATTTACATATAATTTTGAATAGTTCACAATTATTTAAAGCATGGATCCTATGTTACACAAGTGTATATGAATCTGCACATTTGTTAACACATGGAATTTATGATTTACGAGTTTATACATTTGTTAAAAGGTGGGTTTTATGTTGCATAGATTATATATATTGTTGTTAAACTCACACTCTTTATAATTAATGCACAATTTAAAGATAAAAAATGAGAAGAACTATTATTTCCATCATTGTTTCTGTTAGTTTTCTTTCATTTTCTAAATTAGCTGATGAATGCTTAAAAATGATTCTGAAACTCACTTTGGCTTCTTTCCTCGTTGCCACAACCACAATAATTGCAAAAAGAGAGATAATTTGAATGGCCACTTCTATGCTCATTACAATCACCCACGGCAAAAGGAATCCTCTTCGATCCTATTTAATAATAAAACTGAATTAAAAACATTGTATTTTTATTGTAAATCCTCATTTTTAATTAAATATACACTTTATTAGAGTGAAAACAGACTAAGTATAGGCACATTGATAATTGGTAGAGTAAGTTAAGTATACCTTCAAAATGAATGAATGTTTAATATATTTAACCATTTTCTAACAGATTTTTCTATATTTACCTTGACAGCACCATAAACTACAAATACACAGAACATTATGAAGATGAGAGATGCTACCAGAGTTGCTACGAGGATACCTCGAACAACTGAAAACAGGAATAAAATAAATAAATAATAAAATAATTAATAATTTAAGTATTATTCCAACTTCTTACCAGGANTAATCAAGTTTTTTACTGTAATAAAATAACTTATGATTACTTCTCGTTCTTTCAACACCACCCTTGTATATTATAATACCTCACACAAGCCGTAACATTCCTCAATTGTCCTTAAACATCTCCCTCCAATAATCCTGAATTTTAGTTAAGTTAACGTTTCTCTTTATCATAAGCTTGCCATATGTTTTCCTTTATCAACCTAACATTTATTTTAAGCATATTACTACTACATAGTGTCTACGAGGATACCTCGAACAACTGAAAACAGGAATAAAATAAATAAATAATAAAATAATTAATAATTTAAGTATTATTCCAACTTCTTACCAGGAAGATCATCTTTTTTCATTCCCCATTCCACAACCTTCTCTTTTAATAATTTTGGCTTGGCGAGGAAAATGATGGTTACGATGACAGAAATGATTCTGCCAATCTAAAAAAATACAGCTTTTTAGAACATATTTTGCTAATTTTTTGAATGAACACAAAACATTTAGTCTGCTTAACCCTTCAGAAATTATTATTTGAATTGATTAAAGTATGTTTAAACATTATTTAAAAATAGCTTACGTGTAGGTGTTGCGAGTCATCTTGTACTGATCATTTTCTAGTGAGTTTAGGCTATAATAGAGATTAGGATCACACGACTATGGGTCTTTAAATGAGTCATTTTGCACCCAATGATACCCATCGTTAACATGAATCTCTAAACTTGCTCTTCATTGGGATTAGATGTACAAGTAGTGCACAGGGCTAGAATACAATAATTTAATACAGAACTAAACTAATAGACAATTGGATTTACTTGAAGGTTGAAAGACTCTGGCAACTTAACGTCTGACATTTAACAGACTTTTATAAGAAATAGTCTAAATATTTGGAAGATTAAAAAAATCTAATTATTTAGGAAGATAAACATATTTTGTTCTTTATTATGACTAATGCAAGCAATTTAAAATAATTTATCACTTGTTGCGCATTGAAGTATTTATGTAACGCATAAAAAATGTCAACAAAGTATCGAGTTTACGTATCAAGTATCAATAATAAGAGTTAACATTCATTCAATAAGAGTTTTACACGAGTGTCACATATCTGAGTCTACTTGAAACTGTTCTCATTCAGGGACTCTTATAAATAAATATGCATTTTTTATGATTAAAATTTTTAAAATATCATTATATTTGTTTTTATCATCGTCTCTGCATAATATAAAATCGTTACTTATGTGTCTGTTTATGTTTAGAATATTCGTGATACTAATTGATATACTGTACAACCTTTAAATGATCCCTTATAAAACCATTAATTAATTTAAAATCATTTTAAACTTGAATCTTTTATAGAAAACCCTTGGCAGAACCTAAATTAAGAGATGATTCTCAAAGAAGTCCCTTCACAGAACCTTAATCAGCAGAGGATTCTCAAAGAACCTTAATCAGCAGAGGTTCGCAAAGAAGATCCTTGACAGAACCTTAATCAGCAGAGGATTCTCAAAGAAGATCCTTCACAGAACCTTAATCAGCAGAGGATTCTCAAAGAAGATCCTTCACAGAACCTTAATCAGCAGAGGATTCTCAAAGAAGTTCCTTGACAAAACCTTAATCAGCAGAGGATTCTCAAAGAAGATCCTTCACAGAACCTTAATCAGCAGAGGATTCTCAAAGAAGATCCTTCACAGAACCTAAATTAACAGAGTATTATCATAGAAGATCCTTAAATGAACAGATTTTTTACAGATGATCCACGTTATAGTGAAAGTCACCATGTTGTCAAATGATAGAAAATTAATTAAAATAATGACGTAAAACGTTAATTATTAAATAACAAATTATTTCATTGGTCAAAATATATTTTAAGTAGAAGAATTGACATTTTCTTCACGACATTACGTAAACACGAAAGACCACGGTTTTACTTCCTCCTACTTTTACAATTAAATCGAACAAGGTTAAATTAATATTAAACGGTAACTTAATAGCATTAAAAGGTTAAAATTTAATTATAATTAAATTCCCACACTAAATTATTACTTTCAAAGCCATAATTCTGAAGTATGCAATTGTAAAGTAATTATTTTACAATGAGTAATTAGGTTATATTCCACATAAAATACAGTTAACAATTACTTATATATTTGTGTATATTTTACATCATAAATGAATTTATAAGTTAATTTATTATATTTATGTAAACGTGTTATAAGATATCTTAAGTCTACATTCTTCCTTTACCGCATGACCTTGAAGTGGATAAAATATTTTCTTCCAAATGCGCGTAAATATTGAAGGGGATCTTTTGCTATCACACTAGGAATAATCAGCAACTTCCTCCAGAAAACTTAAGGGAAAGAAGAAACATTTTAATATTTAATCAAGTTTTTTACTGTAATAAAATAACTTATGATTACTTCTCGTTCTTTCAACACCACCCTTGTATATTATAATACCTCACACAAGCCGTAACATTCCTCAATTGTCCTTAAACATCTCCCTCCAATAATCCTGAATTTTAGTTAAGTTAACGTTTCCCTTTATCATAAGCTTGCCATATGTTTTCCTTTATCAACCTAACATTTATTTTAAGCATATTACTACTACATAGTGTCTATGTAATCTATGTTACGCTGGTGTATTCGATTTCTTACAAGTAATGGGTGTTTCATATACAGTATTTAATTATTTGTTTATTTAGGTAATTCTAAAGGTTGGTGGTATCTTTCTGCAGGTGATTACGGAGCCTATTGTCAAGGTTAAAGGTCACGTTGAGTATTTGGGAGATAAAACAGGGGGAAGCGTACTCTCAGTCACTATTTAGGTGTTAGGCACGCGAAGAAGTGAAAGTTAGGGTGATTAAATTCAGATTTGTCCAATATTTGAATTTTTCAATGAAATAAATTAAATTAAATTCATATATTTAATAGTTTAATGAATATAATACAATTTTCTTCTGTGTACAGTACATTGATACTTGGAAATATGACTAATTTTGTAACAGTTGGCCTTTGCTATAAAAATACCATAAATTTCAGCTGTACAGAACTTAGCAGATGTCATAACAAAAGAAAAAATAAATAAATAAATAATGTGGAATTTGTTTAAATAAATATAAATTATAAAAATCTAAAATTAGAATTCTAAAAAAAATTGGAGAATTTCCAAAAAATTTGGTGTTTTTACTTAATTAATTTAAAAAAAAATAAACTAAATTTTATTTATGCTTATTTATTTTTCTATTTATAAATTATACTGAATTTTTAATGCAAATTTCTGTATTTTTTTTTTCTTTTTAAATAATAATTTTAATATTAATTTATAAAAATTTAGCATTTTATATCAATAAAAATTATTAATATTTATATTTTCTGTTAAATTATTTTTATTTCTATAATAATAAAATTATTTTTCATAGAAGATAAACGATTTTTAAGGTCAATTTTAAGTATATTTTTGATGAGATATGAATAATTTAGTAGTATACTTCCCTTACTATAACTGAAAATACATCAAAATGCGCTCTAAAACATGGAAAATTTCACGAATTTGCTCTTTACACACAAGAATTGCAGCAACCTGCGCTTCAAACATGAAAAATTTCAGCTTTTAACACCAAAAAACTTCATTAATTTGTTATTTAATAATCAGAATTAGTTAAAAATACAAAACATAGAAAATATGACGCTTAATCTACGCTTAAGACTCATAACCGAAAACACTAAGTAGGAGTTACATTTAGTCACCTTAAGCACGTAAAAACACACTTAAATTAAGAGCGTTAATAACGACACATAAAACGCATTTTAAACAATAAATATACTGTATTTACATACCATAGTATATATACCAGCAGCGATACTGCCTTCTTTTGTGTTCCAACAGAAGCAGCATTTTCTAATCATAACCATTTTGCTGTACAGTAAGAGGTTGGAAGAATTTCGATGCTGTCAGTTCGTCTCGTGTTAACTAACTAATAGATTTTACCCATTGGTTTGCGACATCCTACGCTTCTGTTGGGTGTGGTTTATGCGCTGTTGCCATTCTCTCCCCCCTCCCCGTTTCACTTTCGTTAGTGAGTTTATCACATTGAGTTATTTTTAAAGACGTTGCAATTGCTGTGTTGTGTTCGTGGCTGGTTAGTGTGAACTTTGACACTTTACAAATTAATTTTTCCCCATATTTTCTAACAATTAACGACTGTTTAAAGCTTCGAAATTTCTCTATTTTATTACAGATGCGTTAATAAAATTAATATTTCCTGTTTTATTCATTTCGTGTTTTTAAAGCTTGTAAAGGAAATCAGTAATTGCAAAAATATGCTAAAAGAAGGTTGAGAAGTTAATGCTTCGATAAGAGAAATTTGGAATTTCTTTTAAAAATTTTAAATTTATAAAAATTTTATCAAACTAAACTAAATTCTTAGAAATTTTGATGGAAAATAAAAGGACATTTTTATTAATTTTATTTTTTTAATTTAAAAAGTGTTAAAATAATATAAACCTAAACGATTCACACACGGAGATTTTCAAACTGTAGATCGCGACTCCCTTTTTTGTAAAAAAAATGGTCTTCGGAGATTAAGTCAAGGCCATAAGAGACTCGCCAATTAAAATAGTCGAATGGAGGTATTTTTTGATTGGTTAAAAAAATATTAGTACGAAAATTATCGTGAACACGTGGAAAATTTTGGAAGTTCTAAAAATATTCACGACAATTGACGTAATTATCTAAATTAATTACGTAAAAAATTTAGGGAGAAAATAAAATATAAAGGAAATTTTTGCTAATTTTCTATAAATAAACGACGACGAGAATGACATAATTGCATTAACATAATTATTAAGTCACTATCATTAAAGTTTCTTTTGTATAAAAATAAATTAGTGTATTTTTCAGTTTCTAAACCGGAAATTACGTAGCAAAAAATGTAAATAAATGGTAATTCAATTACTCAATTAACTTTAATAACGTTCTGAATAAATTCGAATACGTTCTTAAACTCCTTTAATGTCTAATTTGCCACCAAAAGAGAATTTTAAAATGAATCTAATCATAATTTAAAGTACAAAAATTTAAATTCTTAACGTATAATTTATAGTTTGAGACTTTATGCGCCTTATACAAGCGGAACTCGGCGATAAATTAAGTATTTCGATACGTAATGTATACAATTAGCAAGTGAACTACCCTCTTATTTATTGCGCATAGACTTGACCTTCGGGGGAATTCTATCCTTGAATTTAACCACATGTGCTGGGCAAAAATGAAATATTTTTTTGTTATTAAAGACAAATTAGAACACTTAAACCGCTTATAATCAGTTGTAGTGTATAAGTATGACAATTTACTCCAAGGAATTATATAAAAAGTAAACCACAAATCTATAAAATTTTATTTCGTTATGTTTAATGAAGCTGTGACGATTTAACAAATATTCTTTTTTTTACACTTTCTACTCGCAGTGTTACAACAAACTCAAGTATATTTAGAATTGCAATGATGTAGGTTTACTAAACACACTTTTTTTTCCCTTGGAAGAATTTACTTCTCTGCAGTAGTAGAAATACTATATTTTCAAGGTTACACAGGATTTTACAAAATGGCTGCCTAAACAAAAATGTCACATTACTCTTCTTCAAACATTACTTTTACAGCTACAGATAAAATAAATATTGTATTTTATACACTCGTTCAATTACTATTCGATTTGTGTTCACACGAGAATTTATGTTTGTCGTCTTCAGACTTTGCTCTACGTCTACACAGACACATACGCGTATTCTCTTAAAATGACTAAAAACAAATGTATATAAATCTATTCTTATAAAAGCTATGTATATTTTAATTCCTCAGGTACCATAGAAGTAGGCGAGATCTAGAAAAATAGAAAAGAAATGCATTATTAAATTCCATTCCTTCCACTAAAAACACACTAAAAATACTCACCTGTACTATTATCATCGTAGAAGTAACAATAATTCTTCTCCGATGACTTCTTGCACAGATTATTATTATTTGGGAAAACTGTATTGCTAGTTGCTATGCATAAATAGTTTCCATACGAGTCTCTGACCCCGAATGGTAATGTTCTATACAACTGTTTGGTAAGTTTATCCCTTAAAAGCACTGGAAAGAAGAAATAGTTCCAAGCAGAACTAGTGTCTTGCACACCACACAGTATCGTGGTCAGATGGTTTTCTCCGTCCGGTATGAAAGGTTCTATGTAATGAACCATTCCCGTCACTTGGCTCTGAAGAGCGAAAGGATAAGTCACCTTTAGCTTCTTGTCGTAGTATACATAATTTAATTCTATTTCACTTAATGGGTATATTATCCTATTGCATTTGTCCTTAAAAGGATAAGGGATTAGGATCTCGTTAGCGAAGCTTAGTTGAGTTCTTTTAGCGAATAACCAATAACCATCATTCAGATAAGCGTAAGAGAAGATTGTTGGGTGGTTACGATCCGCGTACATGGCGTTACATGGAGGAAACGGCGCTCTGACGAAGTCTACGGAATTGGAAACAAGTCCATGTTCGGATTGCGTCGAAATATTTCTTTTGTCTGCGTTATTTACGGGAAAATCAAATTTATCTGGACAAGGAAGACATTCCTGCTCCGATTCTTCACAGGCCGGGTCTTCATAGTAGTTCTTTAAGCTATTGTAGTAGTTGGTTAAGCTTTCGTATAAATGCTGGGCTGCTAAAGTAGCGTTGTAATCTATGAGAAAATAAAAAGAACTTTATGTATTTCGCTAGAATACAAGATAATTTTCCATATCTTCGCGTAAAATTTAGATACAGAACGGTCTATAACTCTTAACAGAGGCTAAACAACAAAAACATTCGTAGCAATAGGTTTAAAATACTGTAAATGGTAAAAAATTACTACTAGTGTGGGATTTGTAAACATGCAAATATGATTAAGACACTACAAAAGAGAATCCCATTATAATTAAAATACATAAGAATATTCTTTTTAACTACAAACTAATTAAAAATATATAATTTCATAGTGTAAAATAATTAGTTAACATAGAAACTAAATCATTTCTTCATTAGCAACTAGAAGTATGAAGTTCAATACGATGGTAGCGAAAATCTTGAGCTATTCTCCCGCAATAGATATTTTTTAATACAATTATTCTAAATTAAATAAAAAAAAATGTTACTTACAAACAGCATCAGCCAGGCATTTTGGAAAACATATATTATTACAGTTCGCCACCTTCCTTCGATAATCATTCATGGTGCTCCTGTAGAAATCGAAGTGCGAGCAGCGAATAAGATTTGTCTCGAGATAATTCACAAATATCTATTTATCAAGCCAACTTTATTCAATTTACTCAACAAAGACCATACGTACTCGCCTAGAACACTCAAGAATTTAAAAATAAATTATAGCAAAATTACAGAAGAAACTCGGCTTCACAACATCCAACTCTTGCAAGATTTATGCAAATTAACACGAGGCGTTTTTAATAAATAAATAAATTTAAAAGAAAACACGATTCAGAAATGTTTTTCTACAATTATATATATATTTTTTAATTATAAAATTTATAAATAATTTTATAATTTAATTGAGTAATTGGTAATATGTAAATTTTGAAATTTACCTGTCAGGGTCTAAACTACTTGTATAAAACGTTAAATAAATGTTGGTTTTGAAATAATATTCGTCTATGGTCGTAGATGAATAATAAATTACAATATTTTAAGGCAGAATAAATAATATTTTTGTGTTTTGAAAAATCAACATGGTATGCGACGTGGAAATTTTTCGGGGTCTCTTCACGTTTATAACACTTAAATAAGGCCAGTTTCCTATAAAAGTCTTTCCGGAAGGCATCCCCTACGGCTGATCGCCCACGTGTGGCTTTGCCACAACCAAATAAACCCAAACCACAACTAGTTTGTGGCCGAGTGAATAAACCACCCAACAGTGGTAGTGTTATTCGTGGGTTCGCGCTTCACCAATTGGCTGAGCGGTGAAATTTTCCGGATTTTCTTCACTTATCTAACTCTAAATAAGGACCAGTTTCCCGTAGAAAGTCCTCCCTGGTAATACAAATCGCCCGTGTGTTGCATTGCCTTACGGTATTTCCATTAATCCAATCCATTTCTCATCATCCCTACTTCTTCGATACTACAATTAGACCATACTATAACATCTCCTAATGATTTTTTTGTCTTATTAATTCTAATTATTAATTTAAATAATACTTTATTTATTATAACCTATAAATGGGAGGATAAAGGGAAAACGGGATTGATGCTATTAAATTTTGGTGGTTAAAAATCGAGAGGGTGGAGATATAAAGGAATAAAGAAGGTCTTTAGTGTCTCCATTAGAATCGGACTTAATGACGATTTTACTCGTTACTAGCATGACAATTTCGTATAAAATACGTTTTTTACCTTCAAAATTAAGCTTTTTGCCATTTCACAATAGTTAAAAATATAAAAAGTTTTTAAATTAAATATCATAATGGATGAATGAATGGCACCAGCAAAGCAGTTTTAAATGTTGTCAGGAAAATTAAGTTACTCGTTGCTGGAATTTTTTAAAAACTTTTCAAGAAATTTGTAACTTAGTATCGTATGTTCTACATCTATTTACTTTGCCCTGTGACTTGGGAAGTCCTGGGCTTAAGCCTTGTTATTTCTTATGTAGATCTGCCACTGTTAAGGGTCGGTATCCAGGGCCGGATTAACCCACTTTGGGCCCTAGATATTTTCTTCTTACGGGCCCCCCTTTCTCACACTAGAAATAGAGCACACAAAAAATATAAAACGATAAATAAAACAAAACTAAATAATGTGAAAAACTAAAACAAATCTTAAATTTTTATTAATAAAAAATATTTAATACACAACAATAAATTTTAGTTTTTCTAGAAAAGTTTGAACAGTTTGTTTATAAATTTAAAATATTGAAATTTGTTTTATTAAATGTTGTTACAAAAGTTGTTGTACAATAACAATATTACCTTAAAATATTAATTGTCAACAAGACTATGTCTTGTTTATAAAATCGTACTGCTTGCTGTGTTACCAGCTTAGAGGTATGAAGGAGTACATGTCAGGAGTTGCAATTTGGCACAGAGTATTAAGTGCCCAAATCATGCGCGCATAAAAAAACCTGACTTGTAGGTACTCGGGACCGAGAACCGAGTGAAAGTAAAATACAAAATGGCGACTCTCTCTACAAACAGGCAAACCGAAGTCAGGTGGTGAGAGTACCACCCACAGTCGTTCAAGGAAATGGACTCTGACCCTAGGACTGAACACGTAGTATTTTCTTTCTTAAATAAAATTTGTAATCTAATTTTGTAAATTTGGGAGTGCTTCAAATATGACATTAAAACAGGGTTTTATGTCGTTACAAGTAGGTTTTTTAACATTGTCTAGTATAGTAAAATCGTGGGACCAGTAAAAATTTGACGTTATAATCAGGTTAAACTGTATATTGTTTGTGCAAAATTAAAAAAAAATAATTTCGGACGATACAATAGCCACGATTATTTTTTTTTTCAAAAACGGGAAATTCTCGTTAGGCATGGACAAAAATTCAACCCTGTCCGACGGGTTGCAACGGAGAGAAATTTCGAAATTGGATAGGTTAATTTCATCAAAAATGCATGTTGGACGACCTCGTGGTTGTGGCTGGCGAAGTTTGAACGATCGCGCCCAAAAGCAGCGATACCAAAGAAGATTGGAGAATGAGAAAGAGATCCGCTTTGAGCGTCAAAGTAATTCCGCTTAGTAGTGTCTCCGAGACATAGTCGTGTCCCAAATACTATTTTGCCGTTTTACTTGTTTAATTTAACTTTTTTGGTTAATATTTAAATAATATAATATTTTACCAGTTTTATCAGTATTACACAGTTGTCCAACAAAAGAATAATCTATCTTATTTACAAATCTTTTGAAAATAGACAGTTTGAAGGCCCTTCTAAAAAACCGGGCCCTAGACATTTGTCTCATTTGTCTATGCGATGATCCGGCCCTGTAGGTATCCCACGGAAACTCTTCCTAAGTGGCATACTTTTTAGCAGCTCTGTTGGTCTACCAACGGAGTACTTCCTTTGGAAAACTGGTCCATATTTACACGTTAGACACACGAATAAACCCTAAAATTCCACCCGAGTAGCCTATTAGTTACGCGGGAACCCGCGAGAAACCACCAGTGTTCCGTTGTTTTGTCCTAAAGTACGTGCTCGAATTTTTCCCTATTATGTAGGGTGAAATTCGAGCATATACTGTAGTAAGCTGAGCTTATAAATATTCATCTTTTCAGATAAAATAGTACCGAAACGAAACGATTTTCCATTATTTTTGGAAATAACAGTAATATTGTAGTAGACCTAATTAATTTAATTATAATTAAATAGCTTTTAAATATCTTTAACTTAAGATTTTTCATCCGTCATCCTTGTTTTTTGAAAACGAAAATAATAGACACAGAAGAAAAAATCGATGAAACACAATGAAATGCACTCCATTTAGTGGAAGACCGACACGGTTACACGTGGCCACACAAGAATTTAATATAATTTAAAACCACGTTAATTCTATTTGTAAAATATTTTTAACATTAAATTAAAATACATAACAATAAATAAATAATTTAAATATTCGAATACAAATTATTCACACGAAATGAATTTAAATGTGACTATGGGTATAATCAATATATGTAAAACTAATATTAATATTCAATTAAAAATTTTTAATACTGTTAAAATTAAAATTTTATTATTTTAAATTATAAATATTTGAAATTTTAAATAAATTAAATATATTAAAAAGTTTTTTCGAATAATATTTAAAACTTAATTAACAGCAGGAACTTCGTCGATCGATCAAGTGAGACAGTTCGTTTAATTGATTTTATTATTATTTCGAGTTTGTGCTGAAATGGGTATGATTATTTTATTAATTAATATTTTAAAATACTTATTTTTTCAGTTTTGTAAATTTAATTAAATCAGTTTTTACGGAAAATTAACCTACTGTTAGACCAAAAATGGCGGATGATATACACTTAAACAATACTTTTATTCAGTATTAAACTGAACCGTATCTTTTTAAAACTTAGTAATTTATTTTTTAATAAAGACTAATTTTAATTCTTAATATACTGGCTTGAAGGTTTAAGTATTGTGTTATTAATTCAACTTTCTTTCTGTTGCAGCTGCTGCTGCGTTAACCGAAACTCCTAAATACTGTGAAATTTGCGGAGATCCAGAAGTATCAAATTTTTACGGAGCATTCACGTGCATTTCTTGTACAGACTTCTTTAAAGAGAATATACTCCTCCGAAGAGAGGTAATCCCTTGTTCTTTCGGAAGCGGTAAATGTTCTCTAAATAAAAGGTATGGTGTCCCGTGTAAATTTTGTCGTTTAAGCAAGTGCTACGACGTCAAAATGGATTACGCAAAAGTCTTCAGTAAGTAAAACATTGATTTGTAAGTTACACTGATTTGAAAAAGTGCTAATGTGAAGTTCGTTTTAGGCCAATTGCCTAGTGATTATAAACGTGAAACATGTACCGAAGAAAAATATTATTTGGTAAGTCCGATATTTTTCAACATTAAAATTTTAGATGTAAATATACCAAATTGAAGACTTTACCATTGTAATTTAACTTTTTCACTAGCTGTTTTGTGATCAACAAGATTCATTCCTGGATTGTCTGATGTACATGGAGCAATACTTTTACAAATGGCTAAATTCTCTTCCAAGTTTCCGTAATTTAAGCGAGGAACGAAAGGTATGTGCAACATTTTTCTCTTCTTCCCTTAATTCTTCATCGAAGACTAAAATTTGTAAGAAAATTTTCGTACGCTTAATGAAACTACCGTAATTACCATTTTAATTATTGTATTATTAACTTTTTAACCATTTTTTTCCATAGAAAAGCCTAAGATTGAGGTCTTACGCGAAGGGTGCAATCTTGCAATTAATAGAGAGATCGCTAAACGTTTACGAGATGCTTCGATTACACAATTCTTTTATTTGCTGTATGACGGACGTGGATATGATCTTTTTAAATTTAATAAGACTGATAAGCGATTCTCGACGTACTTATTTCAAAATAGCGGAAAGATTGGAAGCCTCTGGTATGACACACATGGAAGCATTTTCGGCCTTGAAGCTGCAATTAGCACTACCACAAGGTACGTTATGCAATCGAGATTTATATNCAGGGGACCTATTCTGAGCTCTTCCGATAACTCAACGAGAGCGATACACGGGTCATTCGATAAGTCCCTTTAGCGAAAGGCAGTTAACGAACCTTACACAAATTGCTATTCTGAGCTCTACGTTAAGTGGGTTTCGCTACGGGTAGTCGGTCGAGATGCGTCTGGGTTCCACGCTATCGATAGCTATTACGCTTTAACCAATCACAGTTTAGTTAACATAGTATTTTTGTCACGTGACTGCAACCCGCCATTTTCTAAGCGAAGCACGTGCTCATTGCATTGTCCTGTAGCAGCGTTAGTATAGTTGTTTTTACATTTAAGCAATACAACAACTTAGTTTATTAACGTTAAACAGCTACTTACTTTTATTTCTGCAGATAGAGCATTTTTCTTAAAACACTTTGGCTCTAGCGTATCTCGTAATGCATTACATACATATATAACTAATGGTTTCGGAAGACGATAAAGTTGTTTAAAACGTGTATCGTTCAGCCGAAAAGCATCAGCTCGAAGATTAAATTGAGATTCACGACGTCGAATTATAATTTCCTCTCTCTCCAATTGTTCACGAAGTAATATCATTCTCACACCGAACGACGCCATGTTGTTTAGACTTTCGTTATGTTCCTAACGGCAGGTTGAGAGTGACCGATAACAAAAGCTCAGTTATCACACGTGGCTATCGGGACCGAAAACGAAACGTACGGGTCAGAATAGCATTTTCACGGTTGATTAAACGCGAATCACGTGGTTCTGCTAGAAACTGGTTTTTATCGTATCCGTTAGCTTAACGATACTACTCAGAATAGGTCCCCAGGTCGTTTTGTTTCTCGCACCTGCGACTTTGTTTCGGTATATCGATACTCGAGTCACGTCAACCATCCCTTCATCTATCGCCGGTTTGTTTGGGCCTTAAATTTCATTATCAATAAACAATTCATAACTTGTAATTTATTCTGCAAATATAAGAGACTAATGAACGATATTTGCCCATTGTCCCAAGCGCTTTCGTTGTTGAGCAAAGCCTCATTTCCTGAATGTTTTAACATTAGAAGATCGCTCCGTACCGAAGAATTCTATTATTTATTTATTCGATAATCTCGAATTCGATTGACGTTCATTGTTAAAAAGTACTTATTGTAAGAATATTGTTAGTAATGGTTAAAAATCTTACTTATAAAGAAAGTAAGGAAATTTCTTACTTCGTTGGATCGTATACTTTGGTAAGTGTGTTTTATAACACGTTTGTGTTGTACACGACTTAATTCTGTATAAAATTCCAGATGTATTCTGTAATCAGATTAGCTACTGGCAATTATAAAACGTTTGCAGGAGATTATATTAACCAGAATAAAATTGGTAAGTAATTGTTGATTAAAGAGCATTGTAACAACGTTAAAATAATAAATTGTTTCTTCTATAGACTCTTTGTGTTATAATTTATATAAAATCATTAGTTGGATCGCGTGGTCTGGACTGCTGCTAGTGAGCTTCGTGCTGCTTATCGCAATTAGAAAGGTTGATTTTATACGTCAGTGTATCAAAATTATAAATTTTCTGATTAAATCTTTGTACTTTCAGAAGAAGCCTAGACTGATGTTGCCATGGTTAATGTGGATGCCAATTGTAACTATTGGAGTTCCTGCTTCCGAAATCTGTCTTTTAGTCGCCATTGTCAAAACATCTGTAAGTGAACTGATAAAGATTTCTAATAGCTAATCGGGCCTTATTACTGGTGGAAAGGGCAATAAATCAAAAATAAAGGAGGGCATGCAGTAAGGATATTAGAGAAGTCGTAGTATTAGGGAATTTACAGCAGTATAGTATTAGCAAACAGTTAATTAATGGCAGGATTTTTCGTGTAAAGGTACCATGGAGGGAAGTACAAATAAGTGTTGAAAGTACCTAGGCACTTCAGGTTAATTTAGATATAAGGAGCGAGAAAAAATGTTTTTGGCTAATTTGACGAGGTTATTAATATTTAAACACAACAAAAAATCTACGTTTATCCTCTCATTTCTAATGCATATATAAATACGTATAGAGGAAGAAATGGCATTAGACTTCCCTTTAGGTTTGCCGAAAGATGAAAAGGAATAGGAGAGTAATATATCCAGTAGTACGTAGGAATAGTACAATATATGTATAAGAGTGTGGAGATAATTCTATCTAAAGCTTCCTGTGGATATCTATCAAGGTTCAGTTTTAAGTTTATCAGTTTTACTTTTATTTTAGTTGGATAAACAGTGTATACAGCCAAGGAAGAATCATGGTATTTAATATTCGCAGGTGATATAGTTAAGAAGAGAAACAATTAATAAAAGAGATATAAAATGTTTGAGACTGAAGAATTAACAGAGAATAAATTTTGACTTTAGTAATAAGGAGGAAAAGTGTAGGTTAGTTATGGAAGAAGGAAAATAATATTGGAGGAAAGTTAGACACGAATATAGCTAACAAAACAAGTATAGGGTGACAAAAGATTGCATGCGAGTGCTTTGTGATAAGAGTATTAGTTACATTAAAACATATATACTTTATGAGTATTGTATGAATTTATGTTGGGTGATGAAAAAATCTTTGGTAAAACACTAGAGATAGCAAAAATAAAATTCTCACACTTGTGTTACCTTAGCTGATAGGATTAGAAATGAAAATACAGGTAGTAGTTTAGGAGTAAGACATTAGAGAGAGATAACTTATGAAAAATATGTATGGCTAAAAAAGGAGAGGGTGTGCTGGTTAGAGGAATTACAGAGTGACATAGAGTTAGGCCAAAGAGAAATTGGAAATTAGCAGTGAGGAAAGATCTAAAAGACTTAGTTTAACCAGGAGCAAACTTAAAAAAGAACAGTTTGGAGAACTAATGTGCGTTTCATAAATATAAAGGCATTACACAAAATCACTACAACAGTAAAAAGTATTATTACAAATCTTTAATAATAATCAACTAATAACCAATACATTTCCCCTTTTTCATCATAGCTTTGTAGATACAATCTGACATTGATTAAGTATGTTTTTGAAGGACTATTGTAGTTACTTTTTCCAATCGATATTAATTGTATGTCTTAACTCATCTACACTGTTATATTGGCTCCCATTAGCATATACAGCTCTAACTAAGATTCTTTAGAGGTTTTCCATTAAATTCAAATCTGGGCAACAAACTGGCCAATCAATAATTGGGATTCCATTACTTAAAAATCACCATAAGTTGATTTAGCTGTGTGGAACTTGTTGTAAAAACCATCGATTTCCAGAAATTATATCAGTTCAAGGTAAAAGATAACTTTCTAGCATGTCTTGATAATGGTTTGCATTCATTCAGCCACCGAGGAATGCAATATTTGTCTTGCCAAACCAACTAAGCCCACTCCATACCACCACTGAGCCTCCCCATTGATGCCGTTTTGAAAATATTTCTTCCTCACCCCTCAAATAATGCCAATAACAAGTCTAACCATCTGTTCCATCGAAATTAAAGTTTTTCTCATCACTCCAGATCACGTTATGACCGGATCTACTGAAGGGAAAAGGGATTGTTAATGATGATACTAAGTTTAATTATCTTTTACATTTAGATGCTGATTATTCTGATGATGCTGACTTTTATATTAACTTGTATGAATGTAAGTGTAATTAATGTTATGTTTCAACATTAAACTTCATTTTTATAAAGAATAATTCTTCTTTACAGATATACTGTTTACTATATGTATATTATTACTATAAAAGTTATAAACACAAGAAACAGCCAAGAAGACTGGAGGTTTCATCAAATAAACACCGCGAGGAAGAGAATTTAGAAGATGACAAAGAAGAAATTGCTTTAGAGGAAAATTTGAAGGATGATAAACAAGTCACAAAAGATAATGAATATTTATATTCTTCAGAGAATTTAGAAATATCAGACGAAGATTTGGACACGACATCAAATCACGAAGGAAACTTAAAATAGCATTGTATCGAGATAACACTACGTAACACCCCAAAAAGAAAGGAATTATTATATAAATCTGTAATTGTAATACTTTGGCATGTCATATTAAGAAGATTTATTGAAATTTTATATTGTAAATATATACGTTAACAAGAAATAATTCTAACTTTAACTGATTTTCTAGTTTAAAATGAAATAAAAGTGAAGAAAATCTTTGTTTAATGAATTATCATCATCAATGTTCGTAACGGCGGATTTAGGGGGTGCTAGGGTGCAGTTCTACCTCCATTCCTGTGGGTATTTGAAATAGTCGTTTGAAGTTAGGGGTATTACGGTATATCTTAATACAGTATATATCTATGAAAGAAGAATAGTTGTTTGTTTATTCAACTATATGTATTTAACTTTGAGAATGGGTTACGGATGTGTAGTTTCTCAGTAAATCCTATGGGAGTATGAAGGCTCCCTGTGATAAAACAGATTGCTAATCATTATTCTAGATCCCCTGTACTAGAAAATGAGATGTTTTGGGGGTAACGAGCCTTTTCCACGCAACCCATAAATTGCAAGATGGTAATATTTTTATTATAAAGTTTAAAGAAATTGAAATAAAATTGGGAAAAGTAAATTTACGGTTGACTTTTTACGGCCTTACTCTTCAATTATGCTGAATCAAGAGGATTCGATACCCGTCCGAGACAAAGTAATGAACGTGCATAAAACCCCAACGTAACACTGACTTGTCAAAGGCACTCATTTTGACGTAGGTACTTCACTAGGAAACTCGGCGAAAGTTATAGACTATGCCAAAGTTATACCTGCCAAAGTTATAGACTATGTCCAGCTTCGGGAATCGAAAGCTCTGTGCTCAACTCTCGCTTCGCCTTCCGATAGTGCTTGTAGAAGAGCTAAAAGTGCTCTACTGATTTCAGTGGCGGATTTAGCACTTGAGAGGCCCCAGGCACGCCTGTTCGGAAATTCGCCACAGACGTACATACGTATGTCTACAATGTGGGCACACTGGCGTTTCTACAAGCCCACCGATGGACTCCGTCTCCGCCTCTTGGTGGTGACCAGATCCTAAACACCGGAGTTCGATCGGGGGTTCGCGCCTCACTCGGACGAGCTGGCAGCTGGAGTTTTTCCGGGTTTTCCTCCTAGCCAATAACGCCTAAATAGGGGCCAGCCTTTCCTCCAAGTCCTCCCGGAAGGCATTCTGTCTCCCTTTCTCGCGGGGGTCGGATTGGTCGTCTTCTATAAGACCGACCCCTCCAAGTCCTCCCGGAAGGCATTCTGTCTCCCTTTCTCGCGGGGGTCGTCTCTTATAAGACCGGCTTTGGTCACGTAGTGACCTCTCTCCTGTCTTCCTCGGATTGGTCGTTTTCTATAAGACCACCTCTTCCTCATTGTTTCTTCCGGAGTGAATAGCGACAAGCTGGGCACTCCTCTACAACCGAAGAATCTTCACACTCTTTACATAGAGCATCATAAAAATTTTGTGAAATCTGTTGCTGCGAGCAGTAATTTTGGTTTTAATGTTTTCATAATAATAAAGTTATGCGGGGTGTTTGTTTATGATGTTACATATCATGTTATTGGTTGTTTTGTGTATTATTATTTATGTAGCCAAATAATTTTCATCTAGAATAGAAGCATCGATATTCTGTGAAAGATCCAAATGTTCTTTAAGAGTATCTGTACAGAGATATTCGAGTAAAGTAATATGATATTGAGGGCTTATCTTTTAATATTAACTTCTGAATGATATGAAGAGGAATTTAACCCACCAGTAGCAGAGTGGATAAAACTAATGAACATTGGTAATTGGTGGCGGGCTCGTGTCTAACGTGTCTAGCGCTTAAATAGGGGCCAGTTTCCCATAGAAGTCCTTCTGGGAGGCATTTTCCTTTTGGCAGATCGGCCATATGTTGTATTGCTTTATCCCCTCAATCAAACGGGCTAAATAAACACTACTAGGATAAATATTACTGGTTTGTGTCCACGAAAACAAGATATATTCGCTTTGTGTTGAATGCTTCTGCGTTTTCTTATACTATAGTAACAGTAGTTTACGTCAATCGTTTCGTCGTGTCACGCGGAATCGTGTTAGGATGAAGGACCACTTCCACGGAATTCTGTGTTGTGTAGAGACTTCTGAAGGCAGTTAGAGAAACTGCTGAAAATAGTTTTTGAATCCAAGTAAAAACTCATGTTTTATCGATTTATCTAATTTGGGAATAAAAAAATACAAGAGAATAAAGCAACGAATGAGCAGCAAATGGTACCGCAGGGTACCATTTAGTGGAAGAGTGACACGTTTCCATGTAGCCATAAGAGAATTAATTATAATTTATAAAATAATCTTAATGTACTTTAAAATAAATTTAAATATTAATTTAAATACGCAGAAACAATAATTCCACGTAAATACAGCACATATACAATGGATACACTGTTTTAATGCAAATTTTACCGTATAAACCGTGTTTAAATTTTTTAAAAATAGTACGTAATTTTAAATTTTACTATATATAAAATTACTTATTAACTTTTAGTATTTTAATTTGAAAAGTTTTGAAATTTAAATTAAATTAAATATACAAAAATTAAGTCATTAAATTGTATTTAAAAGAATGACACAGCAGAAGACACTAGAACAACAGTATTTTAACCGAAGTTAATATCGTTAATTTTATTTCTTTATTACTTTTAATTAAGCTAAATGGGTATGTTCAATTTTTATATTACAATCAATGAATTAAAAAGAGATAATTTTTGTAAATTTTTAACAAAAACGAAGTTGTTAGCCCAAAATACGCTGCTAATAGTCACTTAAACGACACTTGTTGGCAAGAATAAGAATTTCTCCATATTTTAAATTAAAATTTTACATTTTTTATTATTTCAGATAAGAGAAAAACAGGCACAAAAGAAGATCAAGACGGTAATAAATTAATTATTATTATTTATAAGCTTAGCAAAGCATTGTAACTGCACAAAAGAAAATACTTTTGTGCCAACGATGCTGCACAAAAGGCAGCAATGTGTTCTATTTCTATTCAATCAATACAAAGTCTGAATTCTTCTACAAATGTGCTTCCTTATTGAGGGGATTTGGATCCTCAGTACTCATTCGTAGACTTACCAAAGAAAATCAATCATTTTATTGAAGGAAACTAACGCTATAAAAAAACAAAATGGCGTACTAATTTGATTCAAAAATGCATTAAAAACACACAAAAATTTTAATTAAAATTTTTCTCTTTTCAGGTGTTGCATTACACTTAACTCCTATAAGAGATACTTGTGAAGTTTGCGGAGATAACGACGAAGTATCGAATCGTTACGGAGCATTCACGTGCGATTCGTGTTCCAATTTTTTTAGAAAATGTATATTAGACAAAAGGAGAGTTATCCATTGTATAACTGAAAGTGGAAAATGTCCGATCGATAAAAGGAGCGGTGTTACGACTTGCGGGTTTTGTCGCTTAAACAAATGCTATGATGTAGGAATGAATTTTAACCTTGCCAGGGTTAAACCGAAGTGTGTCCGTCAGTTAACAGGTGGATTTGGAGTATCCGAAAGGCGAAGTAAATTATTAGAAAACCTCTCTTCTACGGAAAGCACCACCAAGTCTTTTCGGGAAATTGCTACCGAGGTATGTCAATTAAACTTATAATGTGGAAAACTACCAGGGAATTAAGTTGGGAAATAAATTATGTTTACGTAATGTTATTTTAATGCTTCCAATTTTATGAAGGATTGTTTTAATTACTCTTGTCAACAATATTTTTATAGTATTTGTTTGATCGAAAGAAAGCCTGTATTGAATGTCTGCAATACATGGAACAATATTATTACAAATGGTTAAACACTTTCCCACGTTTTCACAATTTAAGTAAGGACAAAAAGGTATGTACCGACCTCTGTATAATTTGTAATTTAAAGACAATTATTTAAATTGTAAATTATTCCACAGGAACTCGTAAGATCCAGGTCATCCGTAAAGGGAGCAATCATGCAACTGATCGAACGATCTCTTTGTGTTTATCTAATGCTCAGACTACACAATTGTTTCCTATATACTACAACCACTTCCGATAAGATATCAGCTATAATAAAAAGTACACGTGACTTTAGAGATGACGTATCGCATGCCTTAACAGAATCAGAAGCAACGAAGATAACCAAACTAGAAGCATTTAACATTATGAAACTTCAATTAACAATGAACGACGGTAGTTTCTGTGGGTCTAAAAGTATCATAATTTATCTAAAAGTGATTTTTTAACACTGCTTTTCCTCTATTTTCAGACTTATTGATACTGAAGAAAGATTTAGACCTTGCAAGCAATCTTCAATCATCTTTTCAGCGACTAATTAATACAGTGTCAGAATTGACAAATGCCATCAGTTGTTTCAGAAACAGAGAGAATTTCGATGCTATCGAATCTCTGAAGTAAGTTAGTTTTATCCTTTTTTTCAATTAGAAAAGAGCAATTCTCATGCCATAAATATTTTCCAGTTTATTTGATTATTCTTCAGACATTCCTGAAGGAAAGTATCCTTATAATCAAATTCGATTTTGTCCTCAACTATGATGAAGTCTGGTAATTTGCATACGTTGCAACTGGTGCAATGTTTATATGCAAATTCTAGCACTGTAAGTAACATTAATTTATTTGTATGCAAAATACTGTTGAGAAATTTTAATTCTCTTTTATTTCTTTCCAGTTGTATTGATATGTACTGAGCTGTATTGAAACCATGGCTGAAATCTTCACTGATCTTACTTTCTAAAACAAGATTTTTTGATAAAATATTAAAATATATTTCTAGAATTTTCGAAACATTTTTTAAAATTAGAAAATGAATACTTTTAATTGCTGAAATTGTAATTGTTCAGTTCTTTATATTTTTTAAAATAAATGATTTTTCATGAAATATTACATTGTTTTTCTTAAATTAAATGAAAGTAGTAACCGTATCAAGCATATTTTAGTTGAAATTTTCGTGTTTTAATGAGTACAATGCATAATTGTAAACGTTCCCAAACAGAACTCATCAGAGAACCACTTAAATTTGAAATTTTGTTGGTCCATTATGTAATTATTAACTTACTTTCCCGGCTTAACTGATTAATAACTGACCAATTACGTTACATTGATTACAATGAAACAATTAATACTATAAATTATCATTATGTTATTGATAATTAATATTAATAATATAATGAACCATTTTAAAAAGGTTCGTTTTAAAATGGTTCGTTGCTCTGTGCCCATTTTGTACACCAAATAAATCGAAAAATTGGCACCTCTATATAAATTTTTGTATTATTTTGATAAATACTGTATATGCTATATTTAAATAAGAATAAATGGATTAATTTTGGTAACACAAATTTGAATCTGGGCAAAATCTTAATTAAAAAGATTAATAATACGCTATATACTAGGTTTGAATTACTGTTTTGTTTTACGAGCATATGACAGCATGTAGTTAGGGAAACTTGATCAACTGTGTGTTGTTATGGTCAGTAGTGTCAGTACACTTCATCTAGCGACAGAGCATATTATCCTTTGGATAAAACTCATTTCCCCATTTGACAAGGCTGTTTAAACATACGTAACTAATAGCTGGAACATGTGACTGGTCGATATGCAAGAGCAAAAGATAATTATTGGTTACAATCCCTGCAATATACCAATATACCTTATACATCGTAGCTTTCCTTTAACAATGGAGTCGTGCCGATTATCTAACACCTTTCGGGGAAAATTTGAATTGAAATAATGTAACTTTCAGTTTGCATCGAACATTTGTATGCAGTGAATTGGGGCTTCTTGCCCTTACGGTGTTCGTATCTATTCTTCAATTTCATGTATCTTACTCCCTTCTCGAGATTAAGAAAAGACACGTATGGACAACAATGTTAGGTCTACAAGAAGTATAGGTCTATAGAATTTACAAAAATTTTTTAAATTGCAGGCCAATAAATGTTCTTAATTCTTAAATTTTTAAATTGTCAAGTAAAAAAGTAAGAACGAAAGGCAATATGCGCATTGTACGGCAATACTGCTTTAATTTAATTAGATTATCAAACGGACTTCGCCATTGGTTTAATACATCTCTGTAAGAAAATTCTCCAGACATCAATTTAAAATATAAAATTTAATTATATGAATAAAATTTTATTGTCGAAAAAAATTAAATTTATATTATTTTAATTGTCAATAATGTCGTCATTTTATGCAAAAAATTTAAATATTAAATGGAATTTATACGAGCCGCAGCATCGGGTGTTGAAAACGACACTACTTTAACTGAAGTCGAAATCACTCAGGTATTGTGTTTATTACTTTTTAAATTATATTAAATAGGTATGCTTACTTTCTTATATTATATAAAAATGTAAGTATTTAATTCAGTCATTTATAATTAAACTACAGTTTGCCAGAAAATGATGGGAGAACCTCATTTAAACAACACTTCTTTAATGAATGGAAATTTGGACTTGAAAAGTGAAGACAGTGACGACAGTGACGATGGTAATAAGTTAATTATAATTTAACTATAACGATGTTTACATAATTAAATTTTTGTTTAACTTTATTTCTTCATATTTCGGAGAATGTAAATCAAGTTTGCTACACAATTATCTTAGCATATTAGCTTTTGCTTTTATTTCGTTTTATATCTGAGAATTACTTTGCTGGATGATCTTTAATCTTCTCTCATAACAAATAGCAGAAAAGACTTGGATAAATAGTAATTATCCATATACCTATTCGATTCTCATTGTAGACTACGCGTAACTCAATAGAGTTCCATTACTGTAGTACATTTAGTATATGGCTACCAACGTGATGCCACGTAACATAAGTAGTTAAAACTGCTGAATACCAGACACGAAGAGAAAGCTTCCCCTTACCTCGCGGTGTTCGTGTGCCTAACGTCTAAGTAGGAGCAATTTTGCATAGAAATCCAACTGGGAGAACTTTCTATGGCAATATGACGAAGGGGATTTGCCCTTTGCAGATCGTCCATATCGATATCAGTCCAGTCTTTTTCTATGAATTGAAGTCACATGTCTGAAAGTAAAAATCCACGCTTACGAGATAATAAGTAATTTCTTTTTCAGGTGTTGTTGTAATTATAGCTCCTCGAAGAGATGAATGTGCAGTTTGTGGCGACCGTGCAATATCGAATCATTACGGAGCGTACATCTGCGCTTCTTGTGGTTTGTTTTTTGAGAGACACGTAAGACTAGAAAAAGAAATAATTAGTTGCGCAACTGGGGGTGGAAACTGTTCGACAAACAGAAGGATGAATATTAACACGTGCTACTTCTGCCGCTTCAGCAAGTGTCACGACGTCGATCTGAAGCACGAAATGATCACAAGTAAGTTGTCTTAAATTAAAGAAAGAAAAAAAAAACAATTTTGGAAAAGTCATAACACTAAACAATTTACTAGGTTCTCCATACTTTGTATTACCGTCACCTCGAATACAAGACGAACGGGTAAGTGACGTATAATCATTATGGAATTTAAAAATTTGTTTTATTAGTACAAGATACTACTACAAAAAAATGTTAACAGTAATATGAATATAACATGTGCCGGATTTGTGATGGTTCTTTGATTAGTCCTTTATCGTGTACAAAAAGTCAGGATTCAATTGTAAAAGTCTCAAAAAGTACTGCGGCGAATGCATATTTTCATACAGGTGTTATTTTTTTAAAGTATTCGCTGTACAAGGAAGTACCAAAACATCCCGAATTTTAATACTGAGAGATGACGGTGTCGAGTTTGAACATTTTAAGAATTGTTCGGATCGTAAGGTTAATCATGTTAATTGAAGATACCGTTATTACTGAGTTTTAGAAAATATTCATTTTTTGTAATATACAGTATATATTTTTTTATAACGATCTTTCTACAGTAAAATTAAAATTAACTTTAATATTCTAGGTCTTTTATAACTACGCCAGAACATTTACTAAATGTATGAAATATATGGAACAATACTACTACAAGTGGTTAAATTCTTTTCCATCTTTTCGCCGGTTAAGTGAGGAAAGAAAGGTAAATAGTGTTTTCATTTCTATCTTTACTTACCACGAACAAAGGTGTATGTTAATGGTGTTTCCAATGGGAAAAATTCATAAGCACATTTAGTTAATTTTTTTTTCTGCTGTAATACTTAATTTCGTAATTAAGTATTACACGACACTAAATGAATGTTACACGACATAAAATTTTCTTTTTACTTAGCTGAACACTTAGCCAGTGTGACTGAACTGATTTTAATTGTTCAGCAAACTAATGAGCAGAAGCAGGGCTGTGCCGTGCTATGATGCAGAGATGCGGCCGCATCAGGCGGCACCGCGAGGGGGCTGCATAAAAAACATTTAAGGAGCAGAATTTCAAAGACTTGCATCATACTTACAAAATCTACTGCTCGGCCCTGAGCAGAAGTAATGAAAAATATAGCAAGAATATAAAGTATTATCTAAAGCAGAAGCAACAAAACTTTGCTTCATAATTCTTTGAATAGTTTTCTGTGTAAGGAATCATTGAAATATCACGACAGCAATTATAACGAGGGTAGAATTTGATTGTGTTTGAGGCTTATAATGCACGATTGCATCCATGATGTAATTATTTTTCTCCTCGGTCATCACAAAACTATGTGGAAAAAAACAATTAAATACGTAAGAAATAAACGTTTGGTGACATAATTAAAGGTGGTAGTACCTTTCTGGATTGTTTGTTTTTCTTCCGATTTTAACGTTAATATTTACTTTTTGTAGAAAGACATAAGGTTGAGGACACACGAAAGAGGAGCTGTCATGCAACTAGTAGAGAGATCACTTAACGTTTTTCAAATGCTTAGATTGCACAATTGTTTTATCTATATTGGTTTGCAATCATTTCGAGATTTTATACTTATAATAAGGGACATACAGGAGCTAAGAGATGGCGTAAACGAAGTAATAACCGATTCTCTTCCAAGACATTTAACTACAGTGGAAGCGTGTAACATTTTAAAACTCCACCTGATACTGGAAGATGGTATTACTTCGTTTTAATTAATGCTAATTTCCTTTAGATGACTTATATAATGTGTGATTTATGTTTTAGATGTGTTGATTACTGATAAAGATTTGCAGGAAGGTGACCTTTATGATTTCCTAGATAACATTATTCAAATGTTAATGGAGTTCATGACAGTGATGCACGAAGAATTCGAAACTGAAGAAAATTTTGAACAGATTGAATCATTAAGGTGAGGAATTTTTTTGTTTTACTGGTTTTCACAAAGCTGACTTGTTAATGCTATAAATCTTATGAATTTTTCAGCTTATTTGACTACTCTTCAGACATTCCCGAAGATAATTATCCTTACAATCAAATTCGCTTTGTGCCTTGAACTGTGAGGTGTTAAATCTCGTAACAACATGAAATTAGTATTGTGCATTGCATTTTAACAATTACGTAAGTAAGGTTTTAATATATACAGAATAAAATATATTCGAAAATTAAACTTGTATTGTTTTTACAGTGTAATGGATGCTCCGCATTGAAATCCTGGTGTAAACTGACTTTTGTTTTTAACCATTTTTTCACAATTTTAAATGTAAAGTTGTCTAACTATTTTCTTTTTATTGGAGCAAATAAATATTATTATTGTCTGAAAAACTTGACTTGTTGGACTCTGAAAAGCATTTGCATACGACGATTCTTCCGATACAATTAAATCTGTACCCACCTAAATGAGACCAAATGACCAATGAACACTGGTAGTTGATTCGTATTTCACCAATAAGCTGACTACGCGAAGTTTTTCGGGATTTCTGTATATTACACTTACGTAGGGGGTCAGTTTTTCATAGAAAGTTGTCCAGATATGCCATTTGATAGACCACGTGCTCCGTTTCTGTATTATTTTCCTAATAAACAACGCAGGTTAGAATCAGCCACAAAGTAGACCTCGTTAATTCTCAATTTCCTATTAAATTAGCCCACCAGAATGAATAAAACAACTGAACTGTAATAGTTGGTCTTACCAAAATTAAATGGCAAACAGCTTAATTTTGAAAGTGTGGATGTGTTTTATAAAAAGTTGTAAATGCGTGAAAATTTTACTTGTTAGCATTTTTAAGTCCCACCTTACTACAGATACACACTATCCCGTTTATCTTCCCACCCTCGACCTTCTAATCACAAAATTTAATAGCTTCAATTTCCTAATAAATAAACCTTTAATAGCTTCAATTTCCTAATAAATAAACCTTCCTGCAAAATTTGGAAATGTTTTCGACAAAAAGCACAGGAATTAAGCTACAAACAGGGTAAACAAAATCGTACCACCTACACGCACTAACATCTATCCTTACACACAGATTGGTTGATTGGAGCTTTTTGGCACAATAGCCATATAAGCTAAGTTGTATATATCATGTCAAGAGATAACGGTTTTTCTGAAAGGTTCTGTTTGGGAACGAGTTCCCAAACAGAACCCTTTTAAATTTAAGTGGTTCTCAGAGAACCACTTAAATTTGAAATTATGTTGGACCATTATGTAATTATCATCTTACATTTCCGGCTGTTGTAACATAACACGGCTTACGTTTTCTGCTGTCATTATATAATAGTGTAACCGTGTCACATTTCACAATGTGGATTTTGGAGTCGCTATTTTTTTTACACCTCTGAACCGATAAAGATGCCTGGAATGTGTCTGTCTGATTTGTTTAGTTGAATATATCGGAATGGGTTGAGTACTAAGAAACGAAATTTTGGTACTGTAACTTATGTATAAGGGGCAACGATGCTATTAAATTGTGGTGAATGGTCGAGGGGTTGAGTAAAAATAAGACATAAAAAATCAATAGTCGTAGCTCGCGATAGCAATTACGCGGGCGATTTAGGGGTGCTCGGGGGGCAGCTGCAAATCCTCCTTCTGAGAGTCCGGGTAATTTCCCCATTCGAGTAAAGTCAAGTACTTCAGTTAGTAAAAAGTTTCTTAAGGCACAAGGTGTGTATCGTTTAGGAATTCATTGTAAAATGTTTTGGATTCGCTGGTCTTTTGCTGGCAAGATTAACAGGGTAGATACCCTGTTAATTATTATTACATTTAACCGTCTAGATGATTACTGATAATACCTTTATTGTTTTAAACTGTTGTGCGGAAATTTGGACAAAATCTTAATTTAAAAAATTAATAATACGCTATATACTAGGTTTGAATTACTGTTTTGTTTTACGAGCATATGACAGCATGTAGTTAGGAAAACTTGATCAGCTGTGTGTTGTTATGGTCAGTAGTGCAACTTCATCTAGCGAGAGAGCATATTTTCCTTTGGTCATAACTCTTTTAGGTATTTCACTCGGCTGTTTGAACACACGTAACTAACAGCTAGAATTTGTGACTGGTCTGTATGCAATAGCTAACGAATAATTATTGGTTACCACCTCTACACTATACAAATAATATATCTATTATGATTTTGTAATGACCAGCGTTTTTTCTCTAGAGCAACGTTTTTCTTCGAATGTTATAGCACTTTTTTCACTGAAGGTGGACAACATTGTCATTACCATTTGCTTAAGGAAAGACAGATGTATGGACGACAGTGAGAATTTATAGATGTTTTCAAATTGCAGACCAATAAATGTTCTTAATTCTTAAATTGTCAAGTAAAAAGTAAGAACGAAATGCAAAGAGCACATTGTATATCTCTGCTTGTCTCTTGTCTCGTCATAGGGTTCATCTGGAAATTGTAGGCTATGTTCTCCGATTTGCCGCCCCCTGGTGTTAATTCAAGCGACCCGTGTGTCTGATGTATTGTTCCAAGGCACCCACACGCTGATGGGTCGACGTCATTGATGATGGTCAGTAGATCGGGGTTAATGAGCGAGTCAGATCGGTGTTTAGGGTCAAAGTCCTACGAAGGGTGCGACGGGGTCCGTCGACTCAGAAGTGTTGTATTATTTCGTCTTTGTAGCAGTCAAGACACAGTGGTGAGTCCGCAAGACGGCGAAGGTGCAGGTCGGTCAGTCAGTCAGTCAGTCAGTAAAAATAATCTTTATTGTCTGGCACCGCTGAGCACAGCCAGGCAAAAATACAGAAAAGTACATTGTAGATACATGCTGTTAGTCATAAAAAGTATACAATAATACAATGGCAGAGAAAACGGAAAGTAAAATAAAATAAAATAAATGAAAATAAGAATAAAAATTAAATATTATAAAAGATTAAAAAATAAAAGAATAAAAATAAAGTATACTATAACTAAACTAACATTGCTGTACATTGCTGTACATGAAAGTCTACATGCTGTTATAGCAGAGCAAGGTTCGAATATACATTGGCATCAAAGGCTAGAGTGAATCAGATCTCAAGAGATGAAGTCAACGGATGCCACATCTAATATAGTAGAGTGAAACAAATTCCTTTAACAAGTTAAAGTTGCTGTTGTTTTGTAAAAAAAAATCAGGCTTTACTGGCCAGTCTATATTGTTCATATTGGCATGCTGCATGCACTGTTACCTGATGTCATCCAGCATAGGGCAGTAGTATAAATAGTGCATGACACCGTCCCGCACCCCACACAGCTGACAGCAGTCAGAATTAAAGTGGTGAAACCTTTTCAGGTAAACACGAAAGCGACCATGTTCTGTAAAAATTGGGCTGAATCATGTGTGGCAACCTCCTGGTCGTTCCTTTGAGTGAAACCAGGAGGTAGCCCGTTCTTTCAACTAATATAATAATAATAAATCATGTGTGGGCTGAATCCATTTGCTGTGAAAGCGTTCTTTCACCTTTCGGATAAAGCGTCTTGTTATGTGTTGTTGTGGGATCTCGTCCCAATCCATTTGCCAGGTTTCCAAAGCATTGTCCCAGATAAGGTATTTAAGTCTTCACTTAGGAATGAGATTGTAGGCAGGAGGAGTATCAGGATTAGTCGTTACGTTTCGGTCCAGAAAGTCAGCCCGTTCATTACCCGGAATGCCGCTGTGTCCTTTGATTCAATTAATGGCATACTTGTTAAAAGACGTAGAAGCTGCTGCAAAGATATCGTTCGCAACAGGGTGAGTATTATCCTTATTCCCCAAAGCAGCAACAGTCGCAGCACTGTCTGTGAAGATGTCTATCAGTTTGTTCACAACGTTAGAGTTGCACCAGTTCATTGCCATCAATACAGCGAAGATCTCAGCTTGGAAGACAGAGCATTCCGAGTGTAGAGAAAACGAATCATTGTATACCTCCTCACCGGCCTGAAAGAGCACAAAGGCACTTGTCGTGCCATCGGTTGACTTGGATGCATCTGTAAAAGGTTCAATCGAAGGATCAGGTGCGCTCACATTGTATTTCAATACTGCTTTAATACTTTTAGATTAGCAAACCAATGACATAGTTCGTTCCAAATCAAACGGACTTCGCCATTGGTTTAATACATCTCTGTAAGCAAAGTCTGCAGATATCAATTTAAAATATTATAACGTGTTCACATACAATTAAAATTTTATTGCTGAAAAAATTAAATTTATATTATTTTAATTGTCAATAATAATCATTTTATGTAAAAATTTAAAAAATAAATGGAATTTATACGAGCCGCAGTATCGGGTGTTGAAAACGATAGTGTTTTAACTGAAGTCGAAATCACTTAGATATTCTTGTGTTTATTATTTTTTATGTTATATTAAATAGGTATGCTTACTTTCTTATATTATAAAAAATGTAAGTATTTAATTCAGTCATTTCTAACTAAACTACAGTTTGCCAGAAAATGATGAGCGATTCACACTTAAACAACACTTGTTTAATGAATGGAAGATTGGAAAGTGAAGACAATGAGGATGGTAATAAGTTAATTATAATTAACTATAACGATGTTTACATAATTAAATTTTTGTTTAACTTTATTTTTTCATACTTCGGATAATGTAAATCAAGTTTTATACACAATTATAGTAGCATACATCGTACGCTTTTTCTTTTATTTTGTTTTATATCTGAGAATTACTTTGCTGGATGGTCTTTAAACTTCTCTGATTACAGATAGCAGATAAGACTTGAATAAATAGTAATTATCCATACAGCTATTCGATTCTCATTATAGACTACGCGTAGCTCAATATAGTCTCATTACTGTAGTAAATTTAGTATATGGCTACGACCGTGATTGTTATCGATGTTACGTAACATTAACTATTTGAAACTGCTGAATACCAGACAGGAGGAGAAAGATTCCCCTTTCCTCGCGGTGTTCGTGCGTCTAACGTATAAGTAGGAGCAATTTTGCATAGAAGTCTAACTGTGTGGACTTTCTATGGCGATATGCCGATGTGGAGTGCCCTTTGCAGATCGTCCATATAACATAGACTAGATTAATTAATATCGATAGTTTTCTCTATAAATTGAAGTCGCATGTATGAAACTGTGGACCCATGCTTACGAGATAATAATAAGTAATTTCTTTTTCAGATGTTTCTGTAGCTCTACAGACACACCAATGTAAAGTTTGTGGAGACCGTGCAGTATCAAATTATTACGGAGCGTACGCCTGCATTTCTTGTCGGGTGTTTTTTGACTCACACGTAAGACTAGAAAAAGAAATAATTAGTTGCGTAACTCGGCGTGGAAACTGTTCGACAAACAGAAGGAGAAATATTATCACATGCGACTTCTGCCGCTTCAGCAAGTGTCACGACGTCAATCTGAAGCACGAAATAATCACAAGTAAGTTGCGCTATTGTCTTAAATTAAAAAAAAAATGTTTATAATAATTATAACACGAAACAATTTACTAGGTTCTCCACGCTTTGTATTACCGCCACTTCAAATAGAAGACGAACAGGTAAGTGACGTACAATCATTATAAACTTTCAAAATTTGTTTTGATAGTACAAGATACTACTACAAAAAATGTTAACACTATTATGAATACATATACCGGATTTATGTTGGTACGTTTTCCTTTTGATTAGTCCGTTATCATGTGCAGGAAGTCACGACTCAATTGTGCGGGTCTCAAAAAGTACTCGCTGTAATCTAAACATTCTTTCAGTGGTTGCATGGACTCCAAATATAATTTTAAAATGATTATTATTACGTAGTGATTTTTGAGCTCAAGTTATTTTTTTTGTAAAAATAAAGTCTTGTGTTACTGTATTAATTCTTTATGAATATATTGTGGCCCAAAACTCAGTTAACCAGTATAAAAATAATGTTGTCAACCTTATTTACGTAGTTTACATTTTCATATAAAGTTGTAGAGATTTTGACATCTTGTTTCATATAAATATTATAGCGTTGACACTGGCAAAATGGATTTAAAACACTGGAAATTTGTAATTAATCGTGGGAACGAACCTTTTCCAATGATCTGTTTACGTCTATTGTTTATTCTGAATTTTACTCACGTATGTAACATCTAAAATAAGGATCAATTTTTCATAGTTTTATAAAGGATCTCGTGAGGCACTCCCCCCTTGGCAAATTGCTTAAGTGTTACGTTGTCTTTTGACAGTTTTACAAATTTGTTTTGGTTTTTATTTTTCTTGTAAATACTGCTTGCGAAAACAGTTAACTGACTTTTGGACAAATATCTATTTAATGAGTTTTAGAAGACTCATCTTTTGTAATATTTATTTTTTTTATAAGGATCTTTATATTACAGTAAAATTAATTTTAATATTCTAGATCTTCCTGAACTATGCCAGAACATTTACTAAATGTATGAAATATATGGAACAATACTACTACAAGTGGTTAAATTCTTTTCCATCTTTTCGCCGGTTAAGTGAGGAAAGAAAGGTAAATAGTGTTTTCATTCCTAGCGTTACTTACCATGAATAATGGTGTATGTTAATGGTGTTTCCAATGGAAAAAAATTCATGGGCACATTTAGTTAATTTGCTTTTTCTGCTGTAATACTTAATTTCGTGATTAGCTTTCTTTTTAGTTAGCTGAACACTTAATCCGTGCGACTGAACTAATTTTAAGTGTTAAACAAACTAATGAGCATAAGTAATGAAAAATATAGCAAGAATATAAAGTATTATCTAAAGCAGAAGCAACAAACTCTGCTTCATAATTCTTTGAATAGTTTTCTGTGTAAGGAATCATTGAAATATCACGACAGCAATTATAACGAGGGTAGAATTTGATTGTGTTTGAGGCTTATAATGCACGATTGCAGCCATGATGTAATTATTTTTCTCCTCGGTCATCACAAAACTGTATGTAAAAAAAACAAGTAAATACGTAAGAAATAAACGTTTGGTGACATAATTAAAGGTGGTAGTACCTTTCTGGATTGTTTGTTTTTCTTCCGATTTTAACGTTAATATTTACTTTTTGTAGAAAGACATAAGGTTGAGGACACACGAAAGAGGAGCTGTCATGCAACTAGTAGAGAGATCACTTAACGTTTTTCAAATGCTTAGATTGCACAATTGTTTTATCTATATTGGTTTGCAATCATTTCGAGATTTTATACTTATAATAAGGGACATACAGGAGCTAAGAGATGGCGTAAACGAAGTAATAACCGATTCTCTTCCAAGACATTTAACTACAGTGGAAGCGTGTAACATTTTAAAACTCCACCTGATACTGGAAGATGGTATTACTTCGTTTTAATTAATGCTAATTTCCTTTAGATGACTTATATAATGTGTGATTTATGTTTTAGATGTGTTGATTACTGATAAAGATTTGCAGGAAGGTGACCTTTATGATTTCCTAGATAACATTATTCAAATGTTAATGGAGTTCATGACAGTGATGCACGAAGAATTCGAAACTGAAGAAAATTTTGAACAGATTGAATCATTAAGGTGAGGAATTTTTTTGTTTTACTGGTTTTCACAAAGCTGACTTGTTAATGCTATAAATCTTATGAATTTTTCAGCTTATTTGACTACTCTTCAGACATTCCCGAAGATAATTATCCTTACAATCAAATTCGCTTTGTACCTTGAACTGTGAGGTGTTAAATCTCGTAACAACATGAAATTAGTATTGTGCATTGCATTTTAACAATTACGTAAGTAAGGTTTTAATATATACAGAATAAAATATATTCGAAAATTAAACTTGTATTGTTTTTACAGTGTAATGGATGCTCCGCATTGAAATCCTGGTGTAAACTGACTTTTGTTTTTAACCATTTTTTCACAATTTTAAATGTAAAGTTGTCTAACTATTTTCTTTTTATTGGAGCAAATAAATATTATTATTGTCTGAAAAACTTGACTTGTTGGACTCTGAAAAGCATTTGCATACGACGATTCTTCCGATACAATTAAATCTGTACCCACCTAAATGAGACCAAATGACCAATGAACACTGGTAGTTGATTCGTATTTCACCAATAAGCTGACTACGCGAAGTTTTTCGGGATTTCTGTATATTACACTTACGTAGGGGGTCAGTTTTTCATAGAAAGTTGTCCAGATATGCCATTTGATAGACCACGTGCTCCGTTTCTGTATTATTTTCCTAATAAACAACGCAGGTTAGAATCAGCCACAAAGTAGACCTCGTTAATTCTCAATTTCCTATTAAATTAGCCCACCAGAATGAATAAAACAACTGAACTGTAATAGTTGGTCTTACCAAAATTAAATGGCAAACAGCTTAATTTTGAAAGTGTGGATGTGTTTTATAAAAAGTTGTAAATGCGTGAAAATTTTACTTGTTAGCATTTTTAAGTCCCACCTTACTACAGATACACACTATCCCGTTTATCTTCCCACCCTCGACCTTCTAATCACAAAATTTAATAGCTTCAATTTCCTAATAAATAAACCTTTAATAGCTTCAATTTCCTAATAAATAAACCTTCCTGCAAAATTTGGAAATGTTTTCGACAAAAAGCACA